ATTATGGTTGTACATTATTTAGAATGGTATTTTACTTGTGACTTGACTCAAACTTGTGTGTACCTGTGAAAAACTCTTTTGAAAATAAAATCAGTCTTTAAGGTCGGCACACACGAGGGGACTAGTCCCTGCGACTAGTCCCACCGACCAGTTTCACGTGACTAGTCCATTCGTGTGAACTACACATTTCTGTGGTTGCAGGGACCAAAATTTGGTCCCTGCGACTGGTCACACAAATTCAAACTGGTTTGAATTCATGCCACCAGTCGCAGGAACTTGTCGCATGAAACAAATGTTTGTCCCTTCATGTGAACTGTTTGTGCAACCAGTCCCTGCGACTAAACGGTAAATAAGCCAATCACGGGTCAGTATGATGCGTGACTTCCAGTATTTGTAAACATTGCAGTTTCTATGAATTTTCCCTGACTTCTAGATTTCTACAACTGAAGAATAAAATACTATTTCTAGTTTTGTAAACATAAACAGATGTCTTGGAGCCGTTTTGATGGAATTTTTTACCCTATTTCACTCTGTGTCTGTTAAAAATAAAATAAAATAAACAAAAACGGAACACGTAAAAGCATGAATAATCCGACTGAATAAGTGTAGTTCGTTTGCGTTGATGTTTAATAGTGCTACAATGAAAAGTTACCAAATTTCAATTGTTTTCGTGTAACGCCCCAGACTAAGAAACATCATTTGCCTCTTAATTTTCTTATGTTCTTGTGCAATTGAGTGCCCTCGTGTGAACGCCTCAAGGGACTAGTCCTGCTACCGGTCCCCTCGTGTAAATCCTTCAAAGACTTGTCGCCGGGACTAGTCGCACGGACTAGTCGTAGGGACTAGTCCCCTCGTGTGTGCCGACCTTTAAAGGCACCGAGATATGAACATTTTTACAATTCTCTAACATGGATAGTCATATTACTCGTGATTACCGCTGGAAATTCGTAAATTTGTGGGCAACAGCTGAAATCTGCGCAAAAATTTTATGATTGAGTTTCACTGTTGTTTTTGATTTGGGGATGGAAGAACTTTTTTATTACGTAGACGGAAACCGACCCTAACAAAATAGAATACTCTCGGGAGCTTTGTTTATTTTATTTTCACTTCACTCTAATATATAGATTTAGCCAAGCCTAAAAGCGGAGCTCTCAAGTTCGTAATATTAATGATAACATAAAAGATGTGCATTTGCCAAGACTTGCCTGAGTCACCCCTCCCTTCGTTTTGATAGTCTCCCCTACCCTACCCGTGCAATCTGAGGGCACGTACGTAGGTGCGTTCAGTCAGTCACGTGACAACCAAACGAAAAGAGGTTGACCATATTCCATGTAGCCCTGCTACAAACGTGTTTTACTTATTCCTACCCTGAAAAAATGAATTAAGAAACTTTACCTCTTCCCCGGAAAGGTACGTATAAAATCTTAGATAAGGACTTGTGCCAAGTGATAGATCAAGCGGTTGTTAATGATGACGTCATCTATGCAAAACCAAATGCGTGTACATTTGTAGAACTAAGCTTATCATTTAACTGTGGATAGACATGTTTATTGCGCATTTTGTTTAAAAAGTGTAGTACAAGATAACGTCGCTGACATAAAATTAAAGTAGTGAAGAGCGCGAGTTCGATTTGTAATCATTTACATGAACAAAACTACACGCGTCTGATTGGCTGAAAGCGAGTGCATTTGTTTATGTAAAGCGAGCGCAACGATAACACACGAGTGCAAATTACAGCGCGCGGGTTGTCAAAATTTCGTCTGTCTTGACTTTCTGCATGTGATGCGTTTTTTCGCGTATCTTTTCACGCCAAAATTGCTCGACACGAAGTTCAATCGCCATTAATTTTATTTTGCCATTTCAAAGTCCTACAATTTAATATTCTAAATACATGATTTTTCTCAGTATCAGTATTTTACTTTATCAATTTATTTTGTCATTCTTTTCCCTACAATTTTACTAGTTTTACTTTGAAAAAACCTCAAAAGCGGATTTTTTTTATTCTCTTGTTTACCACTCTGATCGGCTATGAAATAGAAGCAATTTACAGCAAGAAACAGTGCAATTCCTGAGTGAATCACACAGTTCAGAACTAATCAGATTGCACTTGATCTCTGGCGATTTCAAAATTGAGGGAATATGATTGTGTATGATGGCAAAACTGTTCAAGTTCAAGTACTAACAAGTCGTCTAATTTTGCAATTTCAACGCTATTTACCACTAATTCGTTTTCTTTACGTCAAAAAACAAACGAAATAAGCTTCTCTATTATATTGAGCAGACTGTATGGTGTAACTGAGGTTGGTTATAAAACGATTGGTTTTCACTTGAAGTAAAATGTATCGCCTAGATGATGTCGACAAGTTAACGATAAAGTAATACTGGAACTTCATCCAGAGCACGTTTCATAGCTGCGTAACATCATCATCCGAAGAGCCTGGATTGTAGTTTACATTCACTCAAGTGGCATTTGGAAGTTCTCGTAAGGTTTCAGTTCCATCATCTTTCGTCAGATCGATCCAGTCCTGAAAGATAAAAAAAAAACCAAATTCTTCGCTTTAGAGGGCACTGATTCATCCTGCCCCATAGTTTGAAGTCCAAGATCTCTTGCGTGTCAATGCAAATTGTCTTTGTCAAAGCTTTCTTCAGTTGAAAATTAAATAAATATATATGTATTGCATGAGTGATCGCAGCCTCTTCCAAAACACAGTTTTAAATCTCAATTAGTCGCGCTGTATAAGTGTATAAGTGCAAAGTGGTTTTTTTTAGTATTTTTCTTTTGTTTCTATACCGTATTGTATTTTTTTATTGTACTGGTTTGTAATAAAAAAAAAAAGTCACGCTGTTAAAATGTGCCTTTTTTTTTCGCTGATTGATGTTTTAGTCAATCTAACTTGATTCTATACCGCATCTGACCTGTTTTGAACCAGGACTGAGAGGTTCGTCATTTATCTGATCATATGTCATAACGCTTCCTGGGACGTAATGGTGGTCTTTCACAGGCTCCTCAATGTCTATGATCTTTTCTTCCTCCATGCAGCGACCATCATTGTCATGAACTTCTAAAACTTCCGTTAAAGTCTCATAGTGCTTTGAAATCTGGAAGGAAATAAGTTATTACTATCGTTTACCTTCAAGTCAGCCAAATAAAGGGCAGCTTTAAAAGTTCACAATAACGCATTACCTTGAATCATCGGGTTAAATACAACCTCGTTCCCACGGCCTTTTCCCCCACCCCAAAATAAGGGAAAAGGCCCTGGGAACGAGTTTGAGTTAAATAAACACCACAATAAAGCGTGGCTAGATCTAATCATTGCTACGGTAACATGATTTCACAATTTCTAAGATCACGTTTATAACGAGTGAATCAAACTTAAACGATTAAACCACCGCTCGCGGATCGTCACGAGAGCATACTTTTCAATACAAACTCAGTTGAGCAACTACTGTAATTTTTGGTCCATAACATTGCTGATTAAGCACATATGTTTTGTTTACGAGTTAAAAACTAATTCCTCCTCATTCAAAGACACTAATTAAGTCATAGTCAACTAGTCGTAAGGTGAAACTCTTAATTAAGAAGAGCACTAGAAATATTTACCCTTCTTTCCTTCAGTTTTTCCATTTTAGTCAGCGAGAAAGCATTGCCTTCCTCACGATCTCTATAGAAATAAACAGAGAGAGAAAGATCCAAATGGTAAATATAGCAAAAGCTGATGATTTGAAGACGAAGAACGGGAATCGAAAGTATACGTGGCTGGAAGGGGGGGGGGGGGGAGGGAAGGGGTGAGAACGTGGAAGAGACAAGAAAACCGAAAAGGTGATGCACTTACTTACAAGAATGCACGGTGTGTGCGAGGTTTTGCCAAAGAATCGACATACTGAAGGGACGTCGATTACACACACAAAAGAATTTATGCTTCCCTCTCAAAATATTGGAAGTAATTCGAGGGGAAACATACCATTGCTTAGATTATGTTTCGTGTGAGAAAGCTTCAGTAATGTTGGCTTGAGTGAAATCGTAATTGAAACGTAATTTGTGCTCGGCCAAGCAAGTTTGTTATAAATTGGGAAGAGGACAGAAGGTTGTCGAGAAGGCTTTTGAGTAAAATGGCCTAATTCAAACCAATAGAGCCTGGTTGCCGTGGTTGGTATGCTCACCTGTCAAAATCTGCTACTTTTCTACGCCCAGGCCCTCCCTGACCACGGCAGCGAGTCACTAACAGAGAGTAGATTATTCATATTACTATTCACGGATTTAGTTGTTCCTAGCTAATGAAGTAACTAAAGATCAGCCTAGCCTTTTCAAGTGTAACTGATGACGTAAATTTGTCCTGCAGACTATGTTTGCTATCCGCGTTAATTACCAAAATTTCCTGAAGTACTCATTTAGTTATCACTACTTACCATACATGAAGCGTCGATTTATTCAAACTAAAAGAGATTTCCACTGGTTTATCGTTATATACGGGGTCTATTTAGGTCCTTCCTCTGACATAGAAACTTACCTTGAGATTTTTGTTATACTTCACCTATTGGTTGTTTATTGCGTAGAACAATTTTCAACTGAGCGTAGAAAACAATCCTGGATCGCTTGCCTCTCTGAGCTCAGTGATGGTCGACCGGTAAGATGTAAAACTAAAACCAATCTCGCACCAGTAACTAATGTTTTCTTGCATTCCAGGCAGTTTAGCTGTTTTTAGTTTGAGCTCCTATGGCCTCATTGTGATATTTCCATTTCTTTTGATTGGCGCCATGTGATTACTTTGGTTTCATTTCACGACAACCATTCAAAATGCGCTAAATAACAATTATTCACCGTAGTGGAGGTAAATATCAACCACTTTCACCGAAACTGGGGTAAGTAACCGTTTTAGTGTATGCCGCACAGAAACTAATCTCCCTCGTAGCCGTTTTTTTTAGATGTCACGCAACGCTCCCTCAAAAGAACTGGGGGAACGTTGCGTGACATCCAAAAAAAACGGCTGCGAGGGAGACTACACAGAAACCAGACAAATTTATTTGTTTTTGCCAACATAACAAAAATGGTTAGAAATCAAATTATTGAGCGCGATTTAGTCTCTTCGGCTGCTTGTAGGCGAACAGTGCTTGGTGTTCACTTCCGAATCAACCAATTAGCGCGCGCGAAAATCAAATAAAATCGATCTACTTACTCTTTCTAGTTGCTTTCCATGACAGGAATATAGTTATAGGCACTGCAAGTACTAGCAAGATAATCCACAGCGGAAGTAGGTAAGCAAAACTCTCCTTTCTGCTCTCGCTCTTTGCGCTAGATCCTTTTAATTCTTATTGAGAAAAGGAAAAAACTGCCTTAGTGGCCAGACAATCGATGAAAGAGGGTCTTTACAGGGGTCCAAGTCGAAATCATAGCGTAAGATTCGTCTGAAATGCAAACCATAGATGCTGGAATCGCTCAGTAGTAACAGAGAATGTGCATGCACTCATTTACCGCCCGTGCGTAGTTACAAAAAACGATAAAACATACACCTAAATATATGTTAAACTCATTTAGACCTTTTAGATATTAAAGGGGCACGATACATACCTTGCGTGATAAAAGGCAACTCTGTCAAAGTTGTTGCTACAGTGCTGCTTGACAATCCTACAAGATAGTTACAGATTGCTATGTCTTAGAACAGGCACTGCCAGCTCTGATAAATGAATTAGGACAGATCACTTGATGATGAAAAAGATAAAAGAGGAAAACATTTGAGGTTACTTTGCTGTTTTTTTGCCAACTGGCTGTACTGCATTTCCATCGCTACTATAACATTTCGTTCATTTAAGCTGACGACTTAAACTCAACATTTCCAGAGGAGACTAGGATGGGAAGAGTGGCTGGTTCGTGGATATATGATTATCGTTTCATCAACTAAGAAAAAAATTGCTATTGATTAATTAACGAGGTCTGCACTCGACTTAATGGACGCGGTAGTATATGAGCTTAACATACAAGGTAATTATGGTTTCATCAATTGAGTTCATTATGAAAATTGGTGACCGTAAAGAGTTTCAAGGCTGGCGTTTCGAGCGTTAGCCGTTCGTCAGAGGGAAAGACGAAGGGCTAACGCTCGAAACGTCAGCTTTGAAACTCTTTACGGTCGCCAGTTTTCATTATCAACTCAGTTGATGAAACCATAACTACCTTGGTATTCTCCTCCACCGACGCAGCAGCGACCACAGTTTCTTTAAAAACTTACTCCCTTTATTCTCTTAGCCTAATATACGGTTTTCTATATCAGTAAGTGACAAGAAATATTGCTTCACCTTGTGCATGAAAAGCAAGTGCATGCATCACAAGGCTCCCCCTCCCCCTCCTCCCTTCGCTCTAAAAACTCTCCAGGTTTCGCGAAGGGTGGCCATTTTCTCTCCTAAGTGAAGAAAGTGACTTGGTACTCTGTCTTCTTTGCCACGTTTTTGTTATACAAGACTTCATGATTTGAAAGGCAAGATGGGCAATATTTGAGTCCTTACCTTCGGTAGGGAAGTACGTAGAGTCCGGTAAAGTAACGACAGCTTTGGGTTCTGTCGTCGTGCTTCTTTCTGAAAAAATAATATCAGATTACATGAGCATGGTTCTTGAACTTAAGATGGTTTCTTGATTAGCGCAGCTTGCTTTGTTTGGAGATGTCACGCAGGTCTTTGATAGGTGGCATCGACTTAAGACACCTTAGTGAGTTATCAATAACGTCACTGTTGCCTTTATCAACACACATCAGTTACCTTGAGGTTCTTTCCCGATGCTAAATTGTCTCTCCACCAATGACAACCCTAAACTCTCGCCATACTTGTTCCAAGCTGATATAACTACCGAGTATTTTCGGTCCCAGTGAAGATCTAAAGCATAACTTATTTCTGTAGTATTCCAGGAATTGAAATATTCCTTGTACAGTGAGCCATCTGCCGCAGCCGTTAGTACCCAGAGATACACGGTATAAATTTTTATTGGGCTTTCACCGTCGTATGGTGTCCTCCAGGGCAGTGAACAGTGTTTTCCAGCAACACTGATGTTTGATATAGAAGGCGCGTCGGGTGGCCCTAGCACATCGAGAATAAATAGAGAGAAAGCCATTCATAATATCCTATGAACATAGCAAAGTTCGTGCTCTATATCCTTAAGAAGTTCTGAGTATAATGGAAATTACATAACGTAATCAACACACATCAGTTACCTTGAGGTTCTTTCCCGATTCTAAATTGTCTCTCCACCACTGACAACCCTAAACTCTCGCCATACTTGTTCCAAGCTGATATAACTACCGAGTAGTTTCGGTCCCAGTGAAGATCTAAAGTAGAACTTATTTCTGTAGTATTCCAGGAACTGAAATATTCCTTGTACGGTGAGCCATCCGCCGCAGCCGTTAGTACCCAGAGATACACGGTATAAATTTTTATTGGGCTTTCACCGTCGTATGGTGTCCTCCAGTGCAGTGAACAGTGTTTTCCAGCAACACTGATGTTTGATATAGAAGGCCCGTCGGGTGGCCCTAGCACATCGAGAATAAATAGAGAGAAAGCCATTCATAATATCCTATGAACATAGCAAAGTTCGTGCTCTATCCTTAAGAAGTTCTGAGTATAATGGAAATTACATAACGTAGCTTGCGTTTCTTGAGTCGAAAGATGAAAGGATCGTCGAATGCCATCCACTCTAGATGAAAACTAAATTCGTGATCCTCTGGGATCCACAATTTAAGGTATAACTTTGTGGGTCTTTTTCGTGAACTTTGAGTCAAAACCGTTTTTGGTTGGTTTTAGTCAACTGGAAACGAACTGGGTTCCACATGATTATCAACATATCATGAAACAACGGTGCCCGTTTACTTTGAAACGAACACCACTATATGATCAGTCTAGTTTACAATCACATTTAGTTGCTATCAGATTCAGGAAGAGCGCTCTCGGACGGTAACTGTCCACCTTGTTGTCTTCCCCCAACTTTTCAAAGTGGAACATTTTAGCAATGACTTTTCAAGGAGTCAGTATATTTCACTGAAGTAAAAATGTATGAATAAAGCAACTGATCCAGTTGAACACGCGATCGACTTTATCTGAGAGACTGTCCTTGATTTTTATCGTTTATTGCCTTTGCTAACGGGCTATGCCAGCCTACCTTTTTTTCTCAAAAGACTACTTTTCATTTTACTTTCCTATGATAATTCATTGTACCTGGTAAAAGAGTCACGACGCTGATATTAGCAAACGGTCCGTAGCCAGCTTCATTTCTTGCCTTTATTAATACAATGTAAGTCCTGTTCCTCCTTAAATTTTCAATGAGAAGTGATGCACTTCTTATTCCAGTATATTGATTTTCTTGCCTGTGTGTGATACCATCTATAACCTTTATTGTGTAATCCAGTATTTCAATTTTGCTGTCTTCAATTGATGAGTGCCAAGTTATGTTCAACGCAAGAACCCCGGACTTTGCCTTTATATCGGGTGGGTCTGGTGGGTCTGCAAAGGAAACATCGCTACGTTGGGAACCGTTTTCAGATAAGAGTTACGATTGTTCAACAACTGAAGCTGATCGATCTAACACTACTGACTTGTTTAGCTGACTTTTCAGTTTACAGAGAAGCGTAATGGACGCGACACAGCTGGGAACCAAGAGGCTGTTCTAACTGCCTGAATGTTTACACTGTGTGCTTTGGACAGAGACTGTCTCACCGTCTGACCGACCGACCAACCGAAAGGCAGACTCAGCAGTCGACCGACCGATCGCTCGCCACGACCGACTGAGCGATAACTCAACTGACCGAATAGCTGAAGAACGTTTTGTTGTGTAGTATCGCTGAGTAATTTTACTCGTTGTTTGTATTTTGACTCGCCACACGGGCTCGTCAAAATGCGGCACAGCTCGTAAAAATACTCAGCGATACTGCACAACAAAACGTTTCATTAGATATATGAATAATCACCTGTTTGACCAGCTTAACCTACGGCATTATAACAATTCTCCAGCTTTCTTCTGTCTGTCTGACCATGACTGACTGACTGACCAAAGTATTGATTACCTCTAACGGAACAACTAACTGACTGACTGACTGACTGAATAACTGGTCTGCCGGTTGTCTGGCTTACGGGTTGACTGTCTGATTGACCCACTGGCTGGTCATCTGATTGGGTGACTGACTAACTGTCCGCCTGACTAATGACTGACAGTATGACCCACTTACAACTACTGGCTGGTTGACTGACTGGCAAGCTGGCCGGCTGTCTAGCTGATTGACTAACTGACTGACTAACTGTCTATCTAGACTGCTGTCGCAGGCAATCACACGCTGTTTGATTAGCGAAATTTGTATTTCTTACCTGCTGCAAGCGTTCTAACAGTGCCATTTGAGGACTCTCCATAACCGACAATATTTCTTGCTTGTAATAAAACGATATAAGATCTGTTTTGTTTCAGATTTTGAAAGTTGAAGAATGTTTGTTTGATTCCATCATGCTGCTGTATCATACGGGAGTTACTCTTCAGTAACGTAATTTTGTAATCAAATATACCGCCATCACTGTCGTCACGTGGTGCTTTCCATGACACATTGACAGACAGCACGTCTGAGGTAAATTTGTTTACAACAGGCGGCCCCGGCAAGTCTTAAACGAAAAAATAATATTAAGGTTATGGCAGATATTGATAAGCAGTCATGTATTCTAGGTGAGAGAGAACAGTTCTCAAATGGCTGCTAAAGGCAATCAAGGATTGTCTCCGGTTTAGCTTCACCGCGCTATTGGTTGGAGTTGAAAACCCCAGGCCGCCTTTTCAGCCAGTCAGACCAGAAGCCACGTTTGGGGCAAGTAATGCGCACTTAATTTAGTTTCTTATTGACTCTTCCATAGCAAACTTTCTTTGTGCGGTAATATTATTTTGATTTTGCTTTTTTGACACTCATTCGAAAAGCGCTCTTTAGGAACATGGAAGTCCAACAAAACTGACAAGGAACAGTCTCAGCTCTATTTCTATCAGTTAAGGCTTTATCCGGCACAGATGCCAAGCCATTGAAAACGAGAGCCTGTAAGTTTTGGGACTGCCAATGATATCCTTCAGAAAGTTTAAACGATTTGCTCTCCTAGTTTTGTTGTAGCAGTATTGATAATACGGAGGAACATGTCATGAAACGACGAAACATTATTGGAAGCTTATAGGAGGTGGTTTGGGTAAATTTCTAGACGTAGTGTAAATTTGCAAGTAATATTAGCAAAATTTATTTCGGAGAGTTTCAGCAATGACGGAAAAAAACAATTAAGAGTGCATAATAGTGTTTTCACTTACATAGCCGCTCCACTGTAATATTGTATACCATTGTTCCTTTATTGTTTCCAGCTTTACACGAGTACGAACCAAAGTCGCCCATAGCCTTTGGAATTAACGTCAGTGTACTCATTCCATGCGTGAAGTTAATCCCGGCTATGATTGGTCGACCATGTTTTAACCAGGTAAAATTTGCAGAAGGATTAGCATTCACTGCACACTTTAAGGTTGTGGTGTGGTTAATCCAGGATTTTATGAGAGGATCTGTAGTTGCTGTCTTGTTGACATAAGGTTTATCTAAAATGCGAATTCGTTTCAGAAACGAGAAATTGCACAACACTTGGACGAAGGGGGGAGGGGTGATAAGAGTAGGCAGATTTGTTGATGGAGATACCCCATCTCAGCTTCTTATTAGAGTCTAGAGTCTCCACGGTGGAGTGCGTGCCGGTATATTTCTCGGGAAAATGTAATTCTCTTTGAGTTAAATTTTCCCCTTTTTACCCTATTATGTCAGGTAGTTTCTTATTTTTTAAAGTTAGCTAAAGCGCAAAGAATATGACATGGGTGCTTTCCACCACTTTCCTGTTTCTATGATTCACGGGTACTGCATGAATCCATTTCTGTGAAGGATGTGAACAGGCTGTTACGAAAGTGGAATCTACTTCAAAGAGGACTTACATCGTATAACCCTCACTTGAACACTGTAACTGACGAAGCCAGCTCGGTTCGCTGCTGTACAGACATAAGTTCCGGCATCTCGCAATTCTATTTTTGGAATTTGAAGCGTCGACGTGAAGGTGCCGTTCTGTGGCGTTTTACCATCCTTTATCCACAAGACACTTGGGGTTGGGTCACCTATTGCGTCACAATGAAGAGTGACGTTGACTCCTTCTTCAACATCAATAGTCTCATTGGATCGACGGATAATGGTCGGTGGAACTAATACAAATGTAAGTGGCATAGAAATAAATACGTAATATGTTACTTCAACTCCGCTCCGCACTGCTCCACTCACGAGAAACGACTATGAAACACTTAGTTGCAATGAAGGAAGTAAGATTCTAAAGAAACTGTGGTTCTGCGTCGGTGGGGGACATTACTAGTATAAACAAGATATTTTGGTTTTATCAACTGAGTTTATCAAGTAAATCGGCCTTTCGTAAAGAGTTTCTAAAACTGTCGTTTCAAGCGTTAGCTCTTCGTCAGAATGGATGATAAAACCAAATTATCTGGACGAAATGTTGAATACTCATACTCACTGACAACGGCCAGTTTTATGGGACCACTCCTGTAATCTTGCCCAAGCACAACCGCTGTACAACCGTAAGTGCGAGTTTCATCTAATTTAGTGACATTCTTTAAGATGAACTGCATCTGACAACCATTTTGACTGATATTTCCGGTCCAGTTCAATCTAGATTGGAATGAATCACTAAGGGCTGGATTTACGGCTGTTATCCCGCTTCTTGGAATGGTGATGTACTTATTCTCAATCTGGTCGGCATCCGTTTTCCCCCAAACGATTTTTTCGAAATTTCTCCAGTCCTGCGTGGTTCCAAAACTGAATTCCCATGAAAATATGGCATTGGAGCTCAAACTTGCAAAGACAGTTCCAGGAGGCTCCTTTGTAAATTTTGTTCCAGGAGCTTCTAAAAGAGAGAATTGTCTTATTAATTTCTGGCACGGACAAAACAGAAGGCGCAAGAAAATAAACTGCGAACGTTTTAAGCCATGAACATCAGTATTTTCTTTTCTCTCAAATGACTTTGCCTACAGAGACCTCATTGAAATTTAAGAGAGGAGTGCAAAAAGGCGCGCAGAAAACGATGAGGATGGGGAATGGGGAAAGGTATAAAGCCGCTCTTCTTTTTTTCTTACCCTCCCCTCCCCTCCTTCAAAACCCTATTCCTCATAAGAAGATTTTTATGGATTCTTCCGGCTTTTCTGAGAAGTCTCCATTAAAAGAGAGGAGGAGCTATCCAAAGTAGGGGGGAGGGGTGGAGTAGTTGGCTATATTTATGGCGGCGAAGACTCATAAAACCTTTTTTGGTTCTGAGTAGTTCCAGTGCACTATCATGAACAGTAATGCCCCACACGTGTACATCTTGTTAACTACGTCGAACGCAGCTGCTGGCTGCAGGTTAGAATCTCTCGAGCTCCGCAATGTTCGATAATATCGGTGCTTTTTAAGGCATATAAACGAATTCTTGATGAAATTGCTAGTGTCTGCCTGAAATCGAGAAACAAGTCCCTCAACACTTGAGGAATTTTTTTGTTTGTTCATGCTGATTGGACTGAATGAAATCTTTAAAAAGAAAATTTTAATCGTCAAGTTAAAGAGAAAGCTAGGTAAATTACATCAAACATTTTGTTCAAGTCAAAAAACTTACGTACGGCTGACAGTGAGTCTGGAACACAGCAAACAGAAGAATGCTATTACTTGGACCACTGCAGGAGACGACATCACGTTCGGAATTCAAATCTGCGAAGAAGAAAAACAGATAGTGTAAGAATTTATCTTGACCGTTTCCGAAGCAAAACATTCTTTGAAGTCCTTCCAGTTCAAAGCATTAAAAAGTCAGCCCTTCATACTATGGGTGACGAATGAAGATTTAAAGATATATATCTAAGAAAAATATTGTAGTAAACGAGGACGGACAACTTCGAGCTAAGAAAGACATATACTCTTGTGTAACGCGTCTTGGTAGGGAGGTGCGGCTTTGTTAAACATGTCTTCGTCAGAAGAGATTTCAGAAAGTCTTTTATTAACTGCTTCGGGGATGTTTCGTAGTATGCAAGGTGGGTGGTTAGACTTGCTGTTACGTATAGATGGGTAGTTGCTGGTTTGGAATAGGGTCCGAATCTGCCGGTTATCAGGTCAAGCGTTACATCGAGAAAGTTGATGATTTTCTTGTTTGCCTCGATGGTAATTCTAAGGTTGTTTTGGGCAAATATCGTGCAAATCTGTTTCTTAATTCTCTCCACTTTTTGGGGTGTTTGGTTTATAACTGCAAGACCGTCGTCACGGTAAAGTCCGATGTTAATTTCTGGTATAGTCGCAAGCTGTGATAGGAGGTAGTGCTTTCCAGTCACCCACAAACTGAGGAAAATTTTCAATAGAAACACCATTAAACCGAGCTACTCATGCACACCAAATATGAAACAGATCATAGACGGGCATAACAAAGCCACAATCAGGAACGCAAAAATGTCCGAAGATAGCCGCCCCCAAAGATTGTGCAACTGCAGGAACGAAAACGAATGCCCTTTAGGAGGGGAATGTTTGCAAAGCGAGGTCGTCTACCAAGCCACAGTCGCTACCAGGGAAGAAACTGAAACGTACGTTGGCCTCACAGCGACAGATTTTAAGACTAGATGGCGCAACCACCAAATGTCGTTCAACCACGAGAGACGGCGAAATGACACAGAGCTGAGCAAGTACCTGTGGAAACTAAAGGAGAAGAGGGAAGACTATTCGATTTCATGGAACATTATTGCTAGGGATAGAGCATATTCCAGTGCCACAAAACGTTGCAATTTATGCCTCACTGAGAAATTTTTTATCTTGTCTTATCCACATGAAGCCTCTTTAAACAAGCGAAGTGAAATAATATCCAATTGTAGACATCGGCGAAAATATATTCTCAGGTATTCTTAACGCTATTATCGGCGCGCGCACGGTTTTCAAGATTTGAATTTTTTAAACAATGTCATGTGATCACGTTGCTGAGTTAGAGTTAACCGTCACGATGCCTCAGTGTGTATGGAGTTTAACTGATGAGTGGATCAACTTTTGTTGGTCTACGAAACAGGCAGTATTAAAATCCATATGTGCGTAACTTGAGTAGTCCATTTGCTACTATAGAAGACTTTATATATATATATATATATATATATATATATATATATAAAGTGTGACTTGATTTTCGTAGAACAGTGCTCAATACATAGAAGTAGAGCGAAGTATATATTGTGGGAGGAAAAAGACAAGTAAACTACAAGTTCATCCCTACAAGCCTGTTTCGTGGTCGCCCACTCATCAGGGGATTTAATGAGAATAAACTTTACCATTGCTTATATACAATATAATTTGCATAAATTAGACTACTTAGATCATGCAAATTATATTGTATATAAGCAATGGTAAAGTTTATTCTCATTAAATCCCCTGATGAGTGGGCGACCACGAAACAGGCTTGTAGAGATGAACTCGTAGTTTACTTGTCTTTTTCCTCCCACAATATATATATATATATATGTAAATTCATTTCTATTATTCAATTCCGACACCGCTATGATATCTATCAGTCCAAGAAAAAAAAAAAAATTCCTCCTTTTTAGACTGTCAAACCTATACAACGATTGCCATCGCAAATTTCGATTGAGTTCAAGTCAGGACACATGTCACTTAACATGGCCAAGGGAACTGTAAACAAGACTCACGGCAGAGTCGAAAGCGTAGAATTTCATTGTCTGTGGTGCAGCGTCAAGAATTTTTCGAAGTATTTGTAGGTTTTATAATGAGTAATTTTCAAATTTAATTAGAGCTCGGTTGTTAATCCAAACCTGCAAGAGTTTCTGTAGAATTTATCATAGTTCAGACAATACTTAAAAATTACGTCCATAAAAGTCGAATACGAAAGACCTCAAGACTGCGAGATTGGAAATCCAGTTTGTGATTTTTAGATTACGAACCACGAAGTAGTTTACCGTCTTTTGCAACAATCTTAAATTTTGAAACTTTGTTTACCGGGGTCAGTTCTGATTGAATCAATATGCGCATGACATTTCCCTTCTATGAAGAACCAATGACCGACTGATGGCGTTATAATCTGCAGCTGACCCTCGCTCAGTCTCCGAATCCTCTTACGTGTTTACAAAAACGTTCCACGGTGTTGTGCAAATAGGAATGTTCTTCTTTGCTAACATGTACAGTCACGCAGATATTTGAAAGATTAGCTTATGCGTACTTAAGATGAGATGCTCCTCCCTAAAAATACTTCGTTCGTTTGTCACGTAAAACAGAGTGAAATTGTAGCTTTTGGGCAGAGTCCAAGGTATAAGTGCAATCACGAAAGAGTGTCTTCTCTCGAGAACAGCAAAGTTTAGTATCCAGTGTTCTAAGCTCACAGTATGAGCCTCGAGTGCTCCCTGAATTTAACTGAAACCGGACCAGCTGAATATTAAAACGATGAATCATCGATAACATCTGATACCAGATCATTTGTTTTCAGCGATGTCCTCATACATTGATCGATGGGACTCGCCAAGCTAGAAATGATGTTCTCTTTCAATATGATAATTCTGAATTGATTATGCACACAGGACTCCTAGAACAATGAGTATCTTATCTAACATAACTTACAGGATAGGAAAAGGAACTGAGATGCAAACTTAAAACAATTGCGAACACTAATTAATTTTGGGTACTATGCGGTCTACTGTGGTAGTCTAAATTACCTCTGAAAGATCTTCTTGGATCAGATTCTGCAAGCGTGACTTTCCACTTATTCTTCAAGAGCACTTGAAGCCGAGACAATGTTTCGAACAAAGCTGTTGCTGCAAGAGGAAACTAAACTTGAGAATTTTTGACCACAAAGACTTTACGTATCATAGTGTTAACCGGATCACTTCTAAAACGAGTCGGTGCGTTTGCACAAGACACTTGAAATAACTACGTCACTCCGCCGTTTTGATTGAAAACACAGGACATTAAAAAAAATTTTGAACGGGGTTAAAATAGAGTTTATAACTACAAGCAGAGTGCGAATTCCTGTGTATACCAATGCTACAAATTATTCGATGTTTCAATAAATGTTTTAATGTATCGTACCCCACGTTAGGTGCTCCCTTAAGTTTTAAAGATTCATCTCTCTTAGGCGCTTGGCTAAAATTATACTGTCTCGCTTCACTATTAATTGATTTTAAATTTGCATTCCAGCACGCAATACTTGAACATGCTCGTAACACTTACTAAGAGAAAACCTCTCTTCTGAAAGTATTTTGGAAACAAGAGCAGCATGGCGCCACTGCCAAAGCGATGTGTTAATAGGAATTGACTGAGTTTCAACCCGTGCACCTTAGTTTTGGTCTTGGAAACGAAACTATTGTCACGTTAAGAGTGCAAACACAATTTCAGTGTAGGAGGCAAATAGGCGGTGGATACTAAACCTTTTAATCGGAGAATCCGTCCAGAGAATTCGCAAGTCTAGTCATTTTGTTAATGAGCTCGTGATAGAAGTTGCATGGATGGCAAAGTCTGATAAGAACCAAGCGGGTTGTTTGTCAATATTTTTCTTTCGTTTGCTTTTTCTTTTTTTTAGAAAACTGTGAAAATCAGCGCCTCGCAGCAATCGTGCAAGCTCAAGTGCTTGATTATTTTGGTCAAACAAACTTAAATTCCAAATGCGCTGCGTCAGTGAAGAGGGAACATATTGGATCAGTTCTTCTTCAAATGCACAAAATGTCTTCAACAGGAGAGCAACATAACTTGTGAGAAATCTTGAAAAATAGCAAACATGCTTACGGTATGTTCTAATTCACATTTTCCAACACAGAAAATGTAGAGATCATGTAACCAAGTATGTAACCAAATGTATGTTTATATAATGTGACGACTGCACTCAGTTTGAACCGGGTAACCTTTCAACTTTTATTTTATGTTTCATCAGGCATAGTGTTCCTCGGATAATCCTCAATTCAAAAAAAAATTTTTCTGTGCATCATTGAAAACTCGCATTTAAAATTTGTTCAATAGAAGGAATACTGACATCCGAGACAGTCAAAGGTCATGAACCGCACGTTTGACTAAAACTATAAGTTTTTTCGAGATACGTTTGCCAAAGGTCTCGTTCACAGTTCTTCGTTGACCACAACCTTCATTGTTAAGAAAATAATGATCACACGCAATGGGGGCCAGATATGAAAGCTTAATTTAACGTGTCTCGTAATTAACGATCCCCTATGTAGCAAAGTCCTGGCATAACGAACAACAAGTAGAGCGTTGCAAACTCAGAGGTAGAGAAAAAAAGGCATAGAATTAACCTCCAGACAGCGATGCTATGACACAACGAGCCTCTTCATACAATTTGAAAAGCCGGAGTATGAAAAACCTCGAACAGCGACGGAAGCTTCACTGCAAAGATATTTGTAAACGACCCCAAACAAACACATACATTGGGAAAGTGCCTTGAACTCACTTTGTAACTGAACGAAAAAATTTTGCGGGCTTGTCTCACGCACTTCGTTCGATATGAATATCAAGCCAAGTTTCACTGTAAATAACTTTGTCCAGCGACTCTTTGCTCATTAATGGGCTTGTTACTTTAATTTCATTTTACCGGAAATTTTGCATGAATTCGATTCCTTTTTGTTTTATAGGCAGCGTCAAACTAAATACTGTATACTACAGTCGCCAGAAGTTAATCTGCGACCATGCATTGTGAGTTGTACACGGCAAGAGGTTACAAATAGCATATTCCACAACTATCAAAAGTTTTCTTAGGACCCATCATGGTTCAAAGCAAAACTCTCGAACCGCAGAGTTTATACTTAGCACGAATGCTAAACTCTTCTATCGACTCGTAATCAATTGCAATCGTTATCATCAGTACCGTTGCCGACCACCCTCGCACGTCACGAAGGCTTCCTTCGCATTTAGGATGTCCACTTAATGCAAAACGTTTTCCTTTTTTTTTTCGACATTGTATGACATTCATTGGCGTGGGCTTCTCGTTCAAATAAGTCAAATTTGTGATCTGTAGATAATTCTTTTTAGTTTGGCCAGTGTAATCCTCTGATTTCAGAGGTAACTGGCGTAGCGCCATAGTTGTTGCCGGAGTGACAAATAGTTGGGACGCAGAGTCCAGAAACCCGCTAAAACAGCCTGGAAACCGGGCGGAAAATAACAATTCTGATCAAATAAAAGACTTAACCTGAATGAGAATTTAAAGTTAGGATAGGAGAAAGATCGCAACATACCTCTTCAAAATACCTAACAGGATACTTCCTTTTACTGCACGTGTAACAGATACTGAGGTGGAAAGATGATCTTTATACAGATGATCTTTATATTGTTTTAAAGTCACTCGGCAGACAACTTTTGAGGACTTTGAACTTCTTATTGTGTAATAAGGATTGATGACTTACAGAGGAAGAAAGCAAAAGGTTTTTGAAAAGTGAAAAAAGGAAAAACTGTGTGATTTTTTAGCTTGCCCGAGTGGAGTTCTCAAATGAAGGGATGAATAACAGCAATTTAGAGTAGCTATTACTCTCAACTCTGCTTAAAGGGAAAATAGCAGTCAACTTGAATTTTGACCCCGATGAAAAGTTAACGTCGGATTATTTTTATCAACACTGAGTAAACGGCAAGAGATAATGCAAATTTTCTCTTACACATTTTTATTGACGACTAAAGAAAGGAAATGAAAACACTCGTAAGAAAACCACTTAACTCCTCCATCCCTTCCCCAAAAAAAACATCATATGCAATTCAAGATTCAAAATAAACAAAAATGATGCACTTACGACTTAAACTTGTTCAGCTGACAACTTTAAACTTTCTGATACGTTTCTATTGACTAAAGTTCGCAGAAGAAATCTTTTCCCATTTAGTTTGAAAAACTTGAAATAAGTCAGTTTTGACCACACCAAGAAAATAAGCTCGGTCACTGATTTCCAACTTCAGCAGAGCAATTCTTGTCGCTTCGAAATTTTTTAAATTTCTTTCTTTAATTCAGGGAAGTGAAAACTAAATGGAGCAAATCAGTTGGCTAAAACGCACACATCCAATTTGAGGGAGCCTTTTTTGCACATATAACAATGTTTACCTTGTATTTCACTTTGACCGTTTTATAAAACGCTTGCGGAGGAGAAATAAACCGGCTAACTTAAAATCATAAAGCCACTGTATTTTAAATCGCTCATGTTACCGATACTCCTAAAATTCCTTAAATCGATCCGATGAAGATATTGTCAACTGCCTTCCATCTCAGCACCGTTTTAAACATCAAGCAGCAAAGTAATTTCCTTCGTATTTTAAAAACAACGAAGTTTTCAGCGTTATTTAATTGCCCGGCTAGTAGCAGAGCAGAGAAGGGACCCGTTACGCAATGCCATGTATCGTGCATTAGGAAATCTTCAGGTTCCGAGCATCATACAACGTTCAAAACAGAAGGATCGGTCTCTGCGTACCATTCGTCAGTTAATAGAAATGCTTGTCAATTCGATTCGGCTTTTGCTATAATCATTCCACTTTCAGATCAAGAAAAGAGTGCGTCAACACTTAGTATTCTTTACAAGGGTCCTACGACGTATCGCTACAGATCTTGACTCGTGACTTGACTTAATGTGTACTTATCGGATAAATTCTGAGACAACTGACTCGCTTTAAGAAAAGGCTTAACAATTCCACCTTTTTTTTTTCCCGTTTTTTCTTATTAACTCATAATTAACCTCGATTTGGATCGTCCACATCATGCGAAAGTATTTTCGTTTGTTTTCAAAGCATTTTCAACTAACAAACTGATAATTGAAAACTATTAAATCATTTAAAAAAAGAAGTGCATCTATTCCAAACCCAAGAAATATTCCCGACATAATTGTTTTATCTTGTATAATATTGTATCGTCCGAAATTTTTGGAAGTATGTTCAGACCTCACATGGTTGCTTGCTTCGCCTCAAATGAACATTTCCCCTCCAAACACTTGAGTTAATCTTGTCCTCAGTCAACTTGGTTCACGCAATCAAAGCAAAGCTAAAAACTTAGCGATCAGGCATTTACTGCATATAGCAAACACAGATCACGTGAAATGAAGACAGTTGCCACGTGGGCGACGCAGGTACAGCACTTGGATCCATTAAAGCTGCGACAATAGCTGTCAGAGCACAGGCGGCCCAAGCTCTCTTTGTGAACCACACAAGGAACACAATTTGCATAACGATTTATAAGGATTTGTATGGGATTTTCTACAAGATATCCATAGAGATAGTTAAAAGTGAAAATATTAAATAGAAATGACTTACCTTATTCCATACGTGTGTTGCTTGCTCCTGGTGTCGTTAATTTACCGATTTCACTTGATTTAAGTGGTTCTTTTTAATCCTGGTTTTCTCTTCTTAAAGAGAAGACCGTTGAAATTGGCTTGGTAACCTCGTCATGTTGGCAAACCAAGACTCGCGGGGGTACTAAACCTGAGGGCACCCCAGGTTTTACAAGAAGTTTTGTTGACAAGTTGAGGTCTAGTACCCCCGCGAGTCTTGGTTTGCCGACATGACGAGGTTACCAAGCCGATTGCAACGGTCGTTGTGTCATGTTTAAAAAGGACTCGGATGTCTACAAACGTTTTAACGTTTCACTGAGGACACGAACAACCGCCTGGCTTCGATCGCAGGGCTGAGATTATGTGGCTAGAGAATCGAAATGAAAGTTCAACCTTTGCCCTTGAATTCTGCGGTGGATTTGTGTCCGTGGGTACATTTTAGCTCGGGATTTTTTACTTCGTTAGGGAGGCTGTCTGGACAGAAGTGTTCGGCCTTGTCTTCTCTTTAAGAAGAGAAAACCAGGATTAAAAAAAACCGATTAAATCAAGTGAAATCGGTAAAATAACGACACCAGGAGCAAGCAACACACGTATGGAATAAGGTAAGTCATTTTTATTTAATATTTTCACTTTTAACTATCTTTATGGCTATCTTGTAGAAAATGCCATACAAATCCTTATAAATCGATATGCAAATTGTGTTCCTTGTGTGGTTCTCAAAGAGAGCTTGGGCCGCCTGTGGTCACAGATATGTCTCGTGAACAGCAAATGTTTTAAGACAAGAGAAGTGCATGTTGACGCAAAATTTTCATGTAAGAATGAAAAGAAAAAAATCGCTGGTTTATAAAATTTACAAAATTCAAGAATTTCAGAACGTAATGAGAAAAGCCCTAGCTTATCGGAAAAATTGACGATAATAAGCTTCTTGAAGACTCACACATACAGGAATAAAAACTTGCGGATTGAAAACAATCAATGAAATAGGAAAGGAACTTACATTTCTGCAAGCCAGTCTTTCCGGTGTAAGTCAACGATTCAGTGCGGCATGTTCAGTTTGAAAGTGAATAGTCCACGTCCATTATATTTGAGCCGCAACACACGAAGTTGAGGCTTATTGTGCGCAGCGCAAGAAGTCGAGGCTTACTTATTGCGCGCAAATGAAGTCGGCAGAAGGAGTCGCGCTGTTGGAAATCCCAGTACAGCAACACTAGTCACTCGCGTAATTTTTTTTCCTATCTTTATTCTAGTCGCCACACGCTTCGTATCGCGTCGATCTTAGCCTATTCTTTTTACAAAACCACAATATCGTAAAGACCACCCTTGATTTCGCGTTGCGATGTTACAAGGCTGACGTCACTTTTCCGACACGCGCCTAACATAACAACTTCCAAGTCGACTAGATTAAAAAAGAAATTAAAAAAAGAACAAATCACCAAACAACTTTCTTCTCATTTCTTTTCGGTTTTCGGCTCCACACACGTCAGCTTTCTCTACGGGATTTGGCACGTGGGGCTGTAAGATAAATACCTCTTACCTACCTCGTTTTCCCAGCACGCACAGTAAGTTAGGGAACGACTTTGTTTCGAAGCAAGTAATATGAATTAACTGAGTAACTCAAGCAGCAAGTAACATACCAGTAGAAATCAAAATTGACCCGTTATCGGCCTCTGCGGAAGAACTTTCGTTTCATTTTTAGAAAAGAACAAATCACTAAACAACTACCTTCTCATTCATTTTCTTTTCGGGTTTAGCCTGAACCCGGATCACGTCAAGCAGTCCGGCTCCATATACACGTCAGCTTTCACTATGGGATTTGGCGCGCGTGCCGTCTGATAACTTTCACTTACCAAACTCGTTTTCGCGATCTGTACAGTAACTTGTGGACCGAGTTCGTTTCGAAAGGACTTGATCGAGTTTGTTTCGAAGCAAGTAATATGAGATAACTGAGTAACTCAAGCAGCAAATAACATACCAGTAAAAATCAAACTTGACCCGTAATCGGCCTCTGCAGAAAAAATTTTCTTTTTATTTTTACTATAATGCTTCCGAGCGAGTTTGTAAACATCAGAAAATGGAGTGAAACAAGTACATACAAAAAACAGCTACGTGGACCGACAGTTTTGCCAAGACGTGATCAATGATGTGATCCCCAGCTGCGTTGAGCCATGCCTGTTCGTTCCCGTACTGCAGTTAACCAAGGTCACATTTGATGTTGTTTTTTCTTTGTTGAAATATTTAGCCTCGATTTATCATATTCTTCGTTTGGAAATCATGTTAGTCTTCTGATCTTTTAACTGAATCAGTGTTTTCAATCTTTTCTGTGTACTTGCTGCAATTGGAGCCAGTATAAATATATATTAAAGAAGCAATATTTTTAAATGGAGGTTTGCCTCACGTTTAAGGAAAATTGTGCATATCGCTCAAAGGAAACGACTCGAAAAATGACTGACTGGCTCCATTGACACGTAACTGAATCCTCTATTGAACACTCCAGAATCTTTGGTTGTTCTGAATGTACAAAATAAAACATGCATTCTTCACAGCCTGCTACGCGTGTTCGTAACCTTAATTAGTCAAGCAACCCAACGATATTGAAGCCTGCACCTTCATGGTCCCCATATTTTGGGGTGTCTGGTAAATAGATAAAAATAAGCCACCACCTCAGGTTAAGCTCATGAAATACAAAAAAAATAAGGCTTCGCCTTAAAAATTGTTAAATTACTGGCCAGACGGTCGACAAAATTTTCACGAAAATTGAGCGAGATCACCGCACGCTCATTGAAAGGAAAAGTTGGTTACGTTTATTTCAGTGGAAAGGTCTTCTCGTTGGCTTCAGTTTTCGAAAAACAAATGGTCGCTTGGACAACAACAGCTCGCTGCATGGACTAAGTCAAGAACATTGATGGGCAATTTCTACTCTGACGAACTGATCACGTAATTGACTAAATCCGTGACTGACAAAACAGTTTTTACAGTGTAAGGACAAAATCAAAACTAAGATAAACATGGAAGAGCCAACTGAGGCATGAATAGTTAACTTCGAGAGGAACACAACAGATTGCATGCAGGTAAGCTGAGTAAAATCTACCCCAGCTTTATTATTATCATCATTATTGTCATTATTATTACTTTCATTATTATTATTATTATTTTCAATTTTCATCATTATTACTATTTTATCATTTTTGCATGAAAGGGTGCATTCACCGCTCGGAAAGGACATCCTCTTTGTTCCGTGACTGTAAATTTACTGCATAAAAACAGTCATTGGAAATACTGTGATGTATTATCTCAGAACTACTTCTACTATGCTACTTGCTGTAACTGTACAAATGTTCATATTTCCGAAGAAAAGGTTTTTCTTTCTCCATGTTACATCGATAGAATCTTTACCAAGAAGACACTTTGATTGATACGCTGTGCCTTATCTCTGATCATTTTTCAGTTCTAATTTCCGGTATTTATCGCTTCAAGAAGATTTTCTGATCACTCCAAATAAAAAGCACTGTTTTCCTTTCGATCATGGTTATTATTTGCTCAAGATATTTTTTAAAAGATTTTTTTCCCTTTTTTGTGGTGATCGGAGTTGCGACGGAGCGCTCGAACGGAATGTAGATAAACGATAATAAAAAAATGGTCGTTTGAGTGAAAAATAAAAGATTTCACTTACCTATCATTAAATTTAGATTTTCGTAATTTTATTTTAATGACAGACAAATCAATTTACATGAATGATCTATTACAACGTTTTGTTGGACAACTTGGTTTTCCGGTTCTAAGTGACCCGACAAAAAAAATCGTTGTTTATCGATAGGGTTCTGTAAAGTCTTGAAGTACAGCAGACATGATAAAGAGATAGGGTCACAACGGGCAAATAAAAAATCTTTGCAATATGAAGGATCTTTGATCGCAGAATTTTCTAGATTTGATATATCAAGGCTTAACGAAAAGGGTGTCAGAGTCCCGAGGGTGAAGCCATGGGCCACTTTGGAGGAATTCGATTGCTATCACAACTGTGACGTTAGAGGAAATCAATCGCAGCATTGTTCAGATCAAATTTACTCACAAATCATCCAAAGGAATCCTGACTTCTTTTTCCAACTGGAAACTAGGAGACGCGCGTTATCTCACAAGTTACCGAATCATACTTCTCCAAAAACGAGAAAACTGAAACAAACTACTTATTTCAAGTCAAAATTTCCTGTTTCCTCCAAGATTCTCTGTTATCTCATCAACTGTAGTTGCGATCCTGAGAAAAAAAATCAGATTTTATTTCCCAAAATATCATATTTTGCTTACCTTCAACTAAGACGAAAACGCTTGAAGTATTTTTCGGTCAGTTTTTAAACCGTTCTGCTATCTCCAACCTCAAATGGCCGAGGAAAAGAACATTACGTGTTGTTGTCGCGTGTATGTTTTCGTTGTGGGAGGCGCTGGAGGATGGGCTGGAGGTTTGTATGACGCCAATGAGAACTCGTTTGACAGGTTTCTCAGCATTACATTTTGAAGAAGATACATCCCTATCGCAGATTGGTGGAATTAAGTGTTTACAATCAGTTGTCAAGCTGGGACATCAATCATTTTTCCGTATTATTTTAGTCCTTTTTTAATTTTTAATTCCGGTCAGAAAGAGGCTTATCAGAACTACAGCGTAAAAACAGCCCTTCCTCAGAAAGTGCCAATTTTTATCACACGTTTCCGTGATGCACGCACACTCTCAGTGCGCCTTCTTAGCTTTGCCGGACCTTTGCCGAGATTGCAAAGTTTTAATCATGTACGTATACTGATTGTACAGGAGTTTTGATCAATAAAACTCTTGGTGATTGGAAAAATCTATGAGCTCAGATTTCCTGCCGGCTGAGATGTAAAGGATGAGAAAACAAGATCAGCTGAACTTAACAGCATTATGAACACCTTGGCGTAATCCTGAGAAAAGGACGAATGCAGATTCAACAAACGATTCATTGCTGACTTTAACTGCTACAAGGTACTTATGGAAAGCCACAATACAACTAATTTCTTTTGGCCAATCATCAATCTCTAAGTAATTCAGGCGTTTTCCCCATTTAATTGGAGGAACATTTCAGATCCTCTTCAATTTTTCCACGTTCTGCTTTAGCAAAAGCGTTCTAAACAGTGGACTGGTGTTAACTGTATAAAGTGGCGATCCACTGTGATACACATCTCTCGTCGTGTACTTCACTTAGGTCAGTACTAGAATAAAGTTACAGGAAAGCAAGGTCAAGATTGCCCCTAATACTTCATTCTTTTTGTTTTTATCAACTAAAAGCGTTCTGTATAAGACGGTTTTCGTATGGCACGAATACTTGGCATTTTATTTTTGATAAACAATTTGGAAGAATAACAAAAAACTTCATATTTGTTTCGCTTATTTCAATATTGGGGGTAAGAAAAGAAATAACATCCCGCAACCTGACAGACAATGACTTTCACTGAAGTCTGGGCAGTGTGCCGCCAAGGCTTAGACACCCTGACCCTGTTTGAGAAAAAAAAAAAAAAAGAAAAACATTTCTGTTCCCTTTTGCGACAAACCTTGTAAGAATTGTGGATTATCGACCTCTCAGAAAGCTACACGCGCGTATTTAAATTGGAATACGGCGGAAAGTATTGTCCACCAGTTTAATCATTTCTAATCCTTGTATTGTTGATGTGCGGTTTTCCGGCATCAGTGGAGATTTTACCATAACATCAGTCTCTCTTAATTGAAAGGTAGAGCTTTGATATTTATTTGAAGTTGCTTTTTGTTTCTATCTGTGTAAAATGAAACAAATTTTGAATCAGACGAATGGCAAATGTGGTTATCAATTAAATTTTATTGCCTGAATACACCGTGAGCCGTTCAAGTGCAATTTTCCAAGTACCAGCTGGTCTGTAATTCAAAACGGATTGGCTGACAAAAGCCGTTTCAATCACGTCCGCAAATTAATCAATGTTTACCCTAAAGAAAAATCCCCTAATGACGATGCACTTTTCTCTTAAACCAGTTATCCTTTTCTTAATAATCCAAATCTATTTCCATCGACTTATTTCGTTTACTGTGATGGCAATTTTTAGACTTACACTACAGCCTATTCTTCTGATCAAGATCTGAATTCGTACTGTAGAAATTCAGTTGTACAAAGTTATATTCCTCTACTCCTAAAAGCCAAGCAGTAATAATGAAAACGTCCTACTGAATCTTGCAAGACGGACAAAAACCGTTAACTGCAGAGAACAACTCTTGTAATGAGTACTTGTCAGGCTCCGCCCGAAGGCGGCAGTCGTCTTAGCAGAAGCAAAATAGTTTTGATAATTAAAATTAAAGAACTTAATGACGAAAGTGGCACAGGAAAGGTCAGTGAGCGCATAAGAATCTTTTCTTTCCGCCGCCAAGAATGTTTCTCTTCTCAGTTCCCTGGGAGGCTCTTTATACAAAGAGACTTGTCGTATAGGCCTGGATACAAAAATCCCGAAAAAATGGCTTAAAAATCTATCTGGAAATTCTTCAAAAAATGTCTATAGATCTCATTTTTATCCCTAAAAATATCGAATTGTTTCTAAAAATCCCGAAATCATCGCATAAGTTGCGAAATTCTTGTGGTGAAATTGCGTGGAAGGATCTTAAAATTGATCACACGATAATTAATTTACTATACAATGTAAAAGGTTCATCTCCTTGGTATCCTTTCATGTTTCTCTTTCAGACAAAAGGAAAAACGGCTGTAACAGTAATTAGTTAGTACTGTTAAAGAACCCACTCACGAGATTACTGTGATGTGGTCTGGCCTGTTTACTGGGAATTGGGGGGGAGGGGGCGGCATCAGTTAGATTCACCTTTAATTGATTGTAAACTGCTTAGCAGTCTGGTAAAGTCCCCCGCACAGTGTTGTAAAGCGCCATGAACTCAGGATATGAGCGCTATATAAATAAAAGTTATTATTATTATTATTATTATTATTATTATTATTATTATTATTATTATTATTATTATCATTATTATTACTGAGGCCTTGCCGTGAACAAAACATATGGTCTAAACCACTAACTGGTAGCATTACCTAGCATTTGTATTGAAGAAGCCCCCTTGGAAACAGTGGAGGAACTCCGAAAAGACTTTAACGAACCACATAAATATTTTCTTATATCATCAGTTGTATTTTGCTAAACATAATCGTCTAAAAATCCTCAAATGTTCTAAAAAATACTAAAATCATCTAAAAATCCTGTTTGACTCTAAAATCTTAAAAAAACCGGATTTTTGTATCTAGGCCTAACTTGTAGTTTCTGGCAGCATTCCCGCCAAATATTTCATATATTATGATCAGTCTTACACTACTTAATATTTTCCCTTTCTACATTCTTTTTAGCTTATTTACCAGTTTTATTCAGTACTTCCGATGTCTATACTCTCCTGCTTATTTTCTTATTTTCTTTTCCCCTGTAATTTTCAAAGTATGGATTCATGTTAATTAGCAATTGGCGAAATTTAAAAAAAAATTGACAAAGAATAACACAGGATTTGGTGTGCTTTGCACATTGGTCACATATACATCTTGCGTTTTTCCACGATCCGCTTTCAAGCTTTTACGTCCGGACGTCCCGCTCGATGGAGTTGTGAACGGCCTTCTTGCTATCTTAAACAAGATATTGAAATATATTTTGTTTCTGGTTGTTTTGGGAAGAACATGCATGTCAAAGAATCACTGTTTCGATTATGGTTGGCGCGCAGGAAAATACCCATTTCTTGGGTACTCACTAAGGTTTTCGGAGGTGGAGGAACTCTAACTTAAGGCCATCGGACACGGACACCAAAGAAACAGAAGCCTTTAAAGAGAGGTAGAAACAACGGAATAGTACCGTAGGCAGAGTTTAAGAAAAAGCACAGAGTTTTTAGAATTTGCTAATCTCGCTTTAATTACACATAAGCTTGTTAGCAGTTTTTTGTTTCCCGTTTAAAAATGGTTTGGATTAAAATTCTCTCTTTTACTTAAGACAATTTAAAAGATAATTTTATTGCCATTGTCTGATATTCCTTGGTTTTATTACGTTGGAAAAAGCCCTTTTCAACTTTACTGACCTAAAAGATTAGTTGTAAAGAAATGGTGCAAATATGAGAGTAAGCCGCACCGAGAAAAGTGATTTCAACAAGGAAGATAATAATTTCAACAAAAGAAACCTGACCCTCATTACAGTCTTTAAAACTAATAGCTATGTAGGTTGGAGTTCAAACTCCTTTGTAAAACTGATAATGGTAAAACTGACTCGATGGCTTTGTTGTCTGAAGCCATACTCGTGCTAATCCCCCTTTACGTCAGCATGCGCGGTTTGTTCTTACACAGGTCATAAGTTAAGTTTTGCTTTGGTATTATACAATTAGGCAATTTAGTTCCATGCTAATCCAAAAGGGGAACGTTTCCCTTAATCTTATTTAATTAACAAGCTATCACGAATCACTTTCAGTATTGTTGTATCTTTTAGTGCCAAAAACACTCCACATAGCTTCATCCTGTCAGTCATTTGGTGATTAACACAGCGAGCAAGAGAAGGGATCGCGGTGCCCACCAAAATTTACATTTAATAACTCTCCCTACCGACTGCCATATAATTCCTTAAAAAGTAGAAAAAGAGAATTTGGAGTCATATCAAGATAACACCCTTCCACTGATACGCTCTCCTGTTCACATGACTTGTTTGCATGAAACATATTGGAATGTAAATAACATCTGGGAGTTCAGAGTGAAATTGCCCTAACGCGAGAATACGGAATAAACAACTCCACATCGTGTAGAAATAAATACAATTCGATTTAATTCCCCAATGGCGTAAATGACGTGGGTTGAAACTAAACAACAAACAATTACAAAAGTTACACAATATACAATATAAAGAAATAACGAATAACAGGACGGAAAGAGGACTATAAAACACTTATATTGTTACGGCCACAGAAAAGACCAAGGTTGATACTGCAATTGCAAAAAAATAAAAAAAAAAAAGGAAAGGAAAAGGAGTAGGACGAGCGAAAACGGCGTTACGTTACAAAACTGCGCGTAGCGCGAAAAACGAGAAAACAGGTATATCACTGCAATATGTACATCGGTAAATTAAGCGAAGTAGCAATAAAACGACAAAAAAGGCGCTGATGAAACGAGCATAAGCGTTGGCTAGATACGGAGTGAAAAGACTTATATAATGAACTTCAAAAACGCAAAGAATCCAACACGAAAAAATATCGCACTTAGAACTTACAAAAAGGATTAACAAATTATTTCCCAGTTAAATCCTTCGAAATGACGCAAACGTCCTCTTAGCGTCATCAATGAAAAGAACACCGCCGTATCCCAGCCAAACGAAGACGATTTCCAATTTGTTTGGGGCCGTTTCTATTTGCGGGCCAAAGAATACAAAAAAAGACTGTTTCAATTTACTGTTGACGTTTAATTCTTCATTGTTTCCTCTTCTTCAACACTACATACAAAACTATCTTCATCGTTATTGGGAAAAGTAAATTTCACCTTCCTTACATTTTAACTTTGAAACTTTATCAATTTTACAGATTGTAGAAAATGCCTCTTTATCTTATTTTTGTATCGGTCATGCATATTTTAAATCTATCATTAGTTCTTCGACATTTCGTAATAAATAGTAAACGTAACATTTTTCCTATCACGAATAGAACTGAAAAAGTTATATTTCCATCACGTGACAATACCCTTAAAGAGCGCCTCTTACTCGAGTTTCGCACGGGATGTAGGGACAAGCAAACTCCAATGGCTGAAACGGGAATTGAGACGGTTTCCGATTTCCACTTACTCAAGGAGCTCTTATCTTGTCACGTTAGTTCTAATTCAAAGGTGATTGTTGTCAAATACTTAGTGAGTTAGCTTGTGATCAGAACCCGATGCTTTGATTAGAATGAAAGTAACTAGAGCACATCAGAAGAAAAGATCGGTGAAGTAGCTCACTGTCATATTTTATTTTTTGGCCTGTCGTGCGTTGTAGCTCCAAAAATTCTATCTTGAACCTTATGATATTTTGCTATCCAAATGTGCTTCGAAGAGTACAAACAACGCACGAGACGAGTACAAATATCACGCGATATTTGTACTCCAGAAATACCCGCGAAATTCGCTCGCACTGAAATAACAATTTGGCGTGTTGGATAATAAATCTCTTATTAAACGTTTTGTTGTGTAGTATCTCTGAGTATTTTTACTCGTTGTTTGTATTTTGATTCGCCCTACGGGCTCGTCAAAACACTTAGCGATACTACACAACAAACACGTCTAATAAGATATATGTATATTGTCCCGGCTCTCTAATATTCTTAAGGAAGAGTTATCTTGCTTAGTGATTGACGGTCATTCAAGTAGGCTTCAGGGTGGCCAGATAAGCAAGGGCTGTTAAAAGAGTCGTGAGGCAGTACCCTTCTTCTCCCATCAGATACCTGAACAAGGACCACAACAGTAAAATTGGCTAAACAACAATGGTTTAAATTCAAATTTTCATCGCTTTTACCTCTCGGATGGAGATGTTCCTCAATAGAGGTTTTGCACAGCGGCCATGTTGGATGGCAGGAACAATAGATTATTTTAGCCATGGGAAAAAAATTCTTTCTTATGCAAAATATTTTCATTATTCCTGCCATCCAACATGGCTGCTGTGCAAAAGCTCTATACCTTGTTCCTAGGGCGGAACTCTCCCAATAGACGGAAAAAATGTTCCTCGTAAGCTATACCTCGTGTGTGAATCTCCCAATAAAAGTAAAAAACTCTCAAGTACTTAATTATGCCTTGAGTAGGACTCACACAGAAGAGGACAAAAATATCTCGGCTTTAATCCCACGGATGTAACTTACCAAATTTAAATGAAGGTCTTAATCAGCTTAGACTAAAAGCAGTTTCTCCTTTTCGATAAAGTCTGTCGCGTGAGTAAAAAACAATCAGTGAAAAAAAAAAAAAATTACGTTAGCTCGCCAAGCGGAGCTCTGAGAGTGGTACGTAAAAAAGGTAGGAACTACAGACTTATAAGTAAGGTTGCGTTCCTTTTAAGCCAATCTAAATACGGATTTTGCGATCCAAAATTCAGTTTTCTGTTCCATCAAGGACCATACCGATATAAGATTGCAATCTGAACGATCTTACTTTGAACTGAGATCGTTCGGATTGGTATCTCCATCTGATTTTAGATGCTCGTTCCTTTTAGCCAAACCAGCCTGGTTCCAGATCGTGCGATCGATCGTGAAATTTTCGTTCCGGCTACCAAGGAAATCGAAGCTATCCGTATTGTCTCAATCCAAAAACAGATTGCTTAAAAGGAACACAAACCTAGTCAGGGAGGCTGACCTTACACGGCTGAGTAATTTACATGCGTGCGCCTCGCACTCAATTTCTTTCACTGAATTTTTTTTTCTTGTGCGACGGACTTCGCCGAAAAGGAGGGTCTGCTGGAAGCCTATCGGCTAGCCTTGAAGTAGTTGAAGGTCTTTTTTACTTACCCCTCGGGTATAAATTCCTCCATAGCATCACATTCAGAGATTAACTGTGCCATTCCGCTTCGAATAATGACAAAACTGAGAATAGGTAACAAATCATCACATCCACTGTAGATGTAATAGAATTTGCACACATCATAAGTCATTTGGATTTAATATAGCTCGCATGATAAGTCATTTGGATTTAATATAGAATTTGCTCGTATCATAAGTCATTTAGATTTAGTATAGAATTTGCTCGCATCATAAGTCATTTAGATTTAATATGTTGGCTTAGCTAAACTTACTGCGGGGAATTTTTTTTCGTAAAGAGTATTCAGACATAGAATACGAAGGGCTAACGCTCGAAACGTCAGCTTTTATAACCGTAACGGTGGCCAATTTACCTTTTCAACTTTGTTCATATATTCATATTATTTCATTACCCCCACCGACGCAGCGCCAAACAGTTTCTTTAGAAACTATCAGCCTGTATTCAGACATAGTTTGGCTTGGCTAAACTTACTGTGAGAACGTTTTTCTTTTTCACAGAGAGTAATCAGACAGGCGAAAGGGTTCGTCCTAGACTCGCCCATAGGTCTAACTAAAATTAATATTTTAATTCCTAAGATGTCGAGCGTGAGGCGGAGAAGTGAAGCCCTTTATAAGAAAGTCTATTCTCTTCAGTTATGCGTCTAAGTAAACTGAGATTGAAGTAAAGAACACAGAGATTACATACATGGCTGTCTCTGGGCAGTGACGCGACTTCCCTTTCGTCTCCCAGTAATCTTCAACACACTGACAGACGCAACGTGACGTTCGAACTGTAGACAGATAAATTAGAGTTATAAGTTCCACTATCTCTACAGAAAAATTCCAGAATAAAAAAACAAATAACAAACACTACGTTAAAATCAGGTAAAAGCATTTAAAGCACTATCAGCTAAAAAACAAGCAAACAAACAAAAAAGAGCCTTATAAATACCGAGGCACTCTAGCTTCTCCAAGGGACAATATAAAGTGGAAACTTTATGAAGTTCATCCACCGCCATCTGATATGGATAACTGTTTCCTGTTGCGCCCAAAACGGTCTAAAGACGGACGAGTTTAAAATTCTTTAGAATTCTTTTCCCCTAACAAACTATACTTTATTCTCGTGTTCAGTTTTATAATATTTGGTAAACGTGTTAAAGACTTGAAGTTTTCTTTAAATGAGTAAACATATTATAACTGGGAATATAGCCATGGCCATTCAAGGATTAGCTCTTTCTCACTGTTTTCCAGGTTCAAATTGGAATTTTAAGGGGCATGTTTTGGTGGACAGTGGAGCAGATAAGACCCGCGGAGAAAAATCCTCCGAGCACGAAGAAGAATCAACAACAAAACTTACACGTGTGGTGCGGACATTGAACCCAGGCCACAATGGTAGGAAAAGAGCCCACTTGGTCTTTGCGCCATCATTGCTCACGCAAATCTCTGCATTTTGTGATTTTATTTTCCTCAGTTTAACGAAGACCCAATCGACAACCTTGTCTAGTGACCTGTCTACTCCAGTAAGCAGTCACATACTTTTAAAATCTGGTGAGCTTCTCTCATTATCTTCTCATCATTTAGTTTAAAGTGTATATGACAATTTTTTTTTCTGCTGATTCTGGTCGTTGATAATGTTAGAAAAACGACTGTAAAGTTTTTAGATCTTGAGAATATTTTGAAACCCCTTTTTTTCGTTCAAAATGCGCGCTACTTTCATGTTGAAATTCACCCAGAGTTCGCGCGGCGAAAATCTCACATGATATACGACCGAGACGTCACTGTGTTTGATAAACAAACCATCTTCGCTTTCATCTCTACTTTGAAGAATCCAAAGTCTCACTACTTTCCGAATCGCTAGACATCATCAAATAAACAGTGCGGGTCGAAAATTAGCGTTAATCACTCGCACATTCGAAGCCCCGAGCAAGAGAAATTAGGAGGCGCCTGCACGCGACAGCAATGTTATCAAACACGGTGACGTGACAAGCGCAATTATCATCCCCAGTTTCCCGGGACACTTTTATATCGAAATTGGCGGTATTTCGGCCGCAAAAAATCATCCAAATTATTTTTTTTCGCATTATCGAAACATTTTTCATTTATTACATATATCAATAAAGGGAAATAGTTAAAAAAAATTGTGTCATATACACTTTTAGTAAGTACGTAAGAAACACTTTAAGTACGAAAGTTAAGAAACCCATCTAAAGCTATGCTGACAGCACCTGATCCTTCAAACACAGTCTGTGTGGCACGCCCAAATCTTCCGGATCCTTCGCGATGTTCTCTGACATCACGTCCGCCAGTGTGAGTTCTTTCTCGTGATTAACTTGTCTGTTGGATGAAAAAAGTAAGGAGGAATTAAATATAAAAAGAGGCGGAGATCATATGCTACAAAAATACAGAGCTGGAGAGCAAGCGTTGCATTCCATAGAAGAGAGCCAAATTCAAGTAAGTTTTTTTTTTAAGTCCATTGTAGAGAAAACACCAGACTAAGTCCACGATACATTCCTCTCACCTGAGCACAGCCAACAACATGGGCCACAAAGGTTTAAAAAAAGGAAACTCCAAGAAGGAGTAACAAAGATCTCGGCCGGCTGGTGTATCCAGTTGTTCATAAGCAAGGATTAATAATTTCTGAAGCTTTTCTGAAACAGAATATAACATGACATGAGTTGGAGCTTTTTACAATTGATATTAATAATTAACATTTACCTTTACTTGGAAACCTTGAATTACCAAATTAACTTTATAATTTAATATAATATAAATGTATACGATTCAATACACCGATAAGAGTAAACGAAAAAGACAGTTTATTTTAATTGTAAGGTCAAAAGCAAAGTATATCAACAGCTCTCTGGATACTCGCATGTCGTGTAGCTGAGAGACGAAAAATCGCGCAATGAATATACATTTATTAACAAATATATGTTTTAGAGTCAGGACGAAATCTTCCAGATCTTTTGGATGTGATAAAACGGGCATTTGCTAGACATACATACCGAGAAAAAATCTCACATCCACCAAAACGTCCTTCAATTGTTTTCTCCTTTCATCAGAGTCAGTTGTAGTTGGAGTTGTCTGATCATCTTCCTCCTTGCCACTTTGTTCTCTAGCAAACCCAGCCAGTTTAGGTGTTGGTATTTTCCCCTCATCTCTGCTGTTTGCCTGATCAAATTGGATTTCACTTGTTGTATCATACTTATTTGACTTCTCTACTGCTCTCAGGGTTTATCCATCACTGTAGGTGGAGTTACAAGCTATCTGCTCTTCACCAAACTGTTCTCTTTCGTTCAAACTTTCTATTGATTTTGCTCCGTCACCTGGGATGTTCCCACTACCTATCTGTTCCTCACCAACCTGTCCATGTGGCTTCAGACTACTGTGTGATTGTTTACTTTCCCCCTTGGTGTTGTTTCTTGCTGTCTCTTCTTCATTAGCCTCGACTTTTTGGTCCGAAATGAACCCATCTGCTTCAAATGGATTTGCGTCGTCTTTTGGTTGGTCTTGGCTGGTTTTCTCGTTTTTGATTGTTGTTGGCAACTCAACGTTTTCCACAGACTGTGTACTAAGATCACCGTCTGCAAATGTATCACTTGCATTTGTCGAGTCTAGTCTGAGTCGCGAATGAGTATCTGCGCAGACTTCTGAAGGGTCGGCCTGACTGTGTTCCGTCACATTGACGCTAATAGAAGATCCCACGACATTTTGGGTTGTACCCTCTTCCAAATTATATTGACTCGTATCTTCTTTAAGTTCGCTACAATTCTTTTCATCTCCCGTTGTCTTTTCTTTCCCTCCATCTACGTTTTCAATGTCAGTGCCATCACTTTCATCCTCGTTGCTATCCCAGCCGAACATATCGTCTTCCAGCTCATCAAAATAACTCTCCAATGTCGCTGAATCACTCCCTGTCACAACAGCATCGGGCTGCGAAGTATCAGTTTCAGAGACTTCCGACTGATTATCATCTCCAAGAAGATTTTTAAGTTTCGTTAAATCAGTTTCAGAGCTCGCACATTCGCTATCGACATTCCGCTTCCCTTTTTCTACGGTGTCACCATCTCTGCTATCCTGCCGTACATCGTGATGTTCGACAGTCTCGTGTCCCTCTTCCCTGACGGTGCCTCTCACAATTTCCCTCGTGCCTTTTACGTTTTCCTCAAGATTAGTCTCTGATGAAAAGTGACCTTCAAAATCACCTTCAGCATTAATTAGCGTATTTAGGTTTTTCCCTTCGTTTTGTTCATCTTCGATGAGTACCGATTGCCCTGCAGGCTCGTTAGAGTGAAATTTCTTTACAGTTGTACAAGTTCCTTCATTCACAGCTACTCTTCCGCTTTTTACATCGGGAAAACCCACATCTTTTACAAGAGGTGCCAGTTTCCGGTAAACGTGATACTGATACTGGAGCAGAAACTGGGTCAGAGGATGATCCGACGAGCTGCACGATGGGAAATATTGAGCAAGTTTCAGTGTTATATTGCGGTTTATTACACGACTCTGGCAGTCAGAGGGCCAATAACTAAAATCAACCAATCAAAATGCTCTATTGCCGGTCAATATTCTCTCAGTATTGGACCGGGCACTGTCCCGAATGGTCTCTAATGATACCTCACTTGTGTCCCTTTGAATTTCGAATTCAGTCGTATAATAATTCTCTTATAAACCAAGCTTGCTCGGGACCGTACTGGAAGAATATCGGTCCTCGCTCTTTTTTGTACGGACCTCGCTGCGCTCGGTCCGTACTGTCAAGACCTCGGGCCGATATTCTCCCAGTACGGCCCTCGCGCTTGGTTAATAAGATATAATCTTATTGTATAACATCTGTAAGCCAATGTTGATTTCTTAACTAGGATTTCTCTTTGTACAAAATATATTATGTTAAAGAGAGGACCATTTCAAGATAAGGTGCCGTTATTGATAACTGAGACACTGCGGGCGCCCTGATTCGAAAAGTTCGCAAAAAAAACTCGCCTCAGGCTCGTGAGTCATTACTCCGGTAAGCCGATAGAGAGTGCGGTATAACGCTTAATTTACTTGACAATAAGAATGATAATTAAATAGTTTTAAGTCTCACCTGAAAATCTTAGTGATTATTTCTTTGATCAACTTGGGATCTTCTGGCGAAAGTTTTAACTTATTCCTTAACAGTTTCGGCCACACCTTCAAAATAATTAAATATACAACAGCTACAAATCACAGTAAATTAAAACACCTGAGATCGAAGAAACAGGCCAAAAAAATAGCTGAAACATAAAATAACTAGTTAAATCTTGAACCCTCTTCAAAGACTTTTTCAGTTAAACTGCAACTCTTAGTGGTCGCACATGGAAATAGAAAAGCGCACAGGAAAAGGTGTAACTTACCATGAGTCTACATAGAATTTAAAACGAGATAAAATTTTTTTTTCGACTTTCCAATACGGTTATCATATATAAATGATTAAGATGCATACTTCCATCGATGAGGGGTTGGGGTGCGGGTGCTTCGCACGTTTCACGCACATCAAAAAGTAGAAATAAAGCATCACGAAAAAGTCGAATAAACAACCATAAGGTTCACGTATCGCGAAAAGTAAAAAAATCCACAGTTCACGGTGTTTTAATCTCGTATTTTCCCTGGTCATAAAAATTAAAAACACTTCATCCCGTATCACACACATAGTGATACATGCTTTCAAACTTACTGTCTCTTGTTCAAACTCCAATATCTTTGTGTAAATAATACGCTGTTCTTGCTGTTCCTTGGTAGAATACACTGCAGGGCCAAGACGCCTGTAACACATCAATGTATTATAATTACATGACAAGCACAATCAGCCTGTTGCTGAAGAAGGAACATGTACCAACCCGCCTTCATACCCTAAGGTCAGCGTACATGTTGCCCGCGCTGTTCTCCGCAAGTTTCTTATGATAATGGCGGGGAGAGTACAGTCCAACCTGTCTTAAGCGGTCACAGAATGGCGTGTTGACCGCTCAATACAGGTTCTTCTGTAAAGAAAAACTAAGATAAAAAAAAAACCGTCATCTTATGCCATAGTTGACTGCTAAATGTACAAAAATCACTCAAAAATAATATTAGTATAGAGATTGGGAGAACACTATGGATTAAATATACCTGAAAGCTTTTTCTTCATTTTATTTGAGTGGTTTCGTTCAGTACAGGTGAAACACAATACGAACAAGCCGTTGGGGCCTAAGTAACCCTTTCCACTGTAACTTTCGCCTCTATTAAGCGGTCACCTCTATATAGCTTTCTCACCTGTTTGTTTCCTCTTGCAATCTACGTTGTCGCTCCCACAATTTTTGCTTTATCTTATCATCAAGTTAAAGTTACATGCACTAGAATTACAGCATTATGGTTAAGTGTACATCTGATCATGCACTGTCAATAAATGATCGACTGATTTTGCCCCAAAAAGTAAAGAATAAAATTAAGAATGGGCTAAGGATACAGCTTGCTCCCTGGCCTTTGCAATGGCAAGGTTTTCTGACATCCTTCGCATTAAACTGAGATTCTGCAAAACAGTAAAAACTACATGAGTATTGCAGTCTCATTATCCCCGTATGCTTCATAGAATTGTTGACAAGAATCTGATATATAAAAAAAAAATTACTAAAAATATTGTTTTGCAAAATTAACACTGACTTCCTGTTGAAATTTGAATACCACACTTTATTTAAAAAAAAAAACATAAAAATAAATTTTCAAAATAATCATGCCAAGTTGTAAGCCTGGGTAATTTGCATTCAAGGAGATTGACACTGTAAAAGCAATACATTACCTCAAGAATCAATAATTAATAAGAGTGCCACATGATGATATAAAATTAATACCATTTTAGGAGGATCAGAATGCCTTACTGGCTTGCTAAGTATATTCATAAGGTTCTGAATAAATGCAAATCTTATTGTTATTGTAATATATTTGCCAACTAGTCTGGTTTGTCCCAGAGTATCACAGATACATGACAAATCTCTCACTCTTGAGCTCCCCCACAGTTGAGTGAATCTTCCATAAAAAGTAAATTTGGAAACTTTTTCTGTAAAAACTCGGGGGAATGGGTATATGTTATCATTTGGCTTTTCCCTCTTTTTTTTTTGTTACGATATTGTTTTTAGCGTGTATTCTCTGAAAAGCCCTTTCGCGACGAGAATAAAGCTTGTTTTTAAAACATTGATATGATTACTTAACTAGTGTATGTATGTATTTTGGATTTGAAGGATGAGATTGATGCAAGGAGGCCTTTTTTGGTAGAAATGTAGGAAACGATAAAGTCGAAACCAATTTGGAATGAGATTTATGATGTCTAATTATCTATAAGTTTTCATACTCGTGAAATCATATCCTTGTTTGTCCCCCCCTTGTTTGCATTCTGCATTCTTGTCCTGTATGCCTGTATCAACTGTTTGTTTTCCTTGTAAGCTTTCTCCAAAGGATCATAGCTACCAGTTCTAAGAATGAGAGAATCACAAGTCAAACATGTACAGTTTACACTGTAAAAGAAAGGCAATACAGTCGAACCTTGATTATCCGGACTCGTTGGGACTTAGGTAAACAGTCAGGATAATCGAGAGTCCAGATAATCAAAAATACGAATATTAATGAGACAATAATATAAACAAAAGAAATAAACTTTAAACACGAAGGCAGGCTATAAAAGGAGCCTTAGGTCCCATTTGTCAATCAACCGTCGTGTGATGTAGAACTCTCAGAGTCAAGTCAGCTTGAGCTACAGCTACTCCAAAGTAGTAAACAGCGGGCGCATTCCTCAAAATTATTTTATGTCTTCATCACAGTATAAGAATTTTTGAGATTTGTATTTCCTTTCTCCAATGGAAACTGTCTTTATTTGTGGCGGTAAATTTTAGATCGAAGTAGGTGGTTTGCACGTTACCTCATGCCACCATGCTGGTGGAAGTAAACAATAGATATCTCATTAGCTCCTTTTGTTCGTCTACCAGCATTTAAATTTGACCCGCACACGTCAACGGTGAGTGACAAATGAGCCTAGGTCTTCCCAGGGAAGACTTCCTTATATAGCGCGCCTTCGTGTTTATGATAACACACTTTAAATTCTAAAAGTCTGCTTCAATGCCTCTCTGAGCGCTCGATCTTTTGAAAGCAGAGGAGGTTTCAAATGCACTTTTCCTGACTTTAAACATAATCTCTGAATTTTTTCAGTTAACCTCATAAAGTTTTGAAAATCAAAGCCCATTAATAATCACATAAAAAAAGGGACCAGAAAAAAAATCCGGATATTTGAAAAGTCTGGATGATAGAGGTCCGGATAATCAAGGTTCGACTGTGGTCACTTTGAAGCCTTCTGATTTTCATAGATGATATAAAGTGACCCAATTTACAGATATGAAGGTTGACATGGTTATCATGTATCCAACAATATACTGAAACACTCTTATTTCTTTTGTCATGAAATCAAGGCCAACATCTTCAATCACTGCGCCACAAGAAAAATCAGGGGCAAAGACAAAACTTTTATGCCTTTCCACTACCTCCACCCTGAGTAGAAGTTTAATTCTTATTGGATCCGAAGGTACCATGCAATAACCCGCAAATTAAATTTTTTCTCTTGTGAACACTTGGCTGAGTGTTTAGAGAATTGAAGAAAATGATTACACTTCTACTCAACCTAAAGCTGATAACAATTAAAACACCAATTTTTCTAGAAAAAAATCTCTGGAATTCAAGACTGTGCAATCAGTTTCAAATTATGAGTACCCACCGATGATGATGACGCAGCAATGGAGACCCAGGGGGTGATGGTAGATAAAGGTTTTCATCATTTGTCGGTTTTGCTAAATTTGCAGTGGGAGAATTTGTGTAGGACAGCTTGCGAATAGTTGCACCTTGTGGTGCCAGTTGATGCTGAGCTGACTGACCAGGAACTAGAACATGACTGTCAGAATAGCGATGTGGGACACCTTCACTTGGAAGATGAAGATGCTGAGGAATTTGATTCCCAGGAGTTTGACTCGTTGAAGTGTTACTTGCTTAAGGTATGACAGGCATCAAAGACATATTGATAAGAGAAAAGTTATTTTTAAAATTAGTTTAAAATGATTTTCTGGTTTTTATTCCATAGGAGTTCTAAGAAGGCCACAATTGTACTATATCATAACTACAGTATGCTTGGTTTTTTGCACTGAGTCTTAAAAATTGTTAATGAGAAGATTATAATCTTACCCACGGATGATATTACCATCAGAGCTCTCTCCTGACATTGCTGAAGTAGACGGAACAACTTGGCCGTGTCACTGTTGTACACCAATCGGAGATCTGCAGTAATCCAGAAGCACAGTTGAATGATGTAAATGAGTAAAATCTTATAGTAAATATATTTTACCATTTTTCAATAACTGGTAGAATCTTTTGCTTAGCTTAACTTTTCCTATCTGATGGTTTTAGATTTTTCCTCTCCTTTTCTCACCTGTGACCTAAATCCTAAACTGCAATTGTTTCCTCAAGAGAGGGGTGGACTATAAACTAAAAGAAAACTTTTAAAAACTTCTAGAGCATTAATGTCCTCCACATGCAAAGTTTTGTTGCCAGTCACTAAAAACCAAATATTCATTGATTACTCCCCAGTCCCTCCCATCTTAACCCAACAAACAAACAAACAAAAGAAATAGACAAACAAATACAGTTTATTGATTTTAGCAATTAAAGTACATATCACATACATATAAACAATTAAACAGTCATTGAAAATCCACAGTAGAAGACAGGATTATCTCCGTAGCAAGTATGGCAATTAACTCTAATTTCTATTCCACTGGAAATTATTTTTATTTAGAAAATTGTGTCTGCAAGAGAAGAGTACAGGTCTTTTCTCTTAACTTCTAAAAAAGATGTTACAACTGTAAAGGGGGGAGCAGGGTTGGCGTAGTGGCGAGAGCGCTTGCCTTCCACCAATGTGTCCCGGGTTTGATTCGTGGACCCAGCGTCATAAGTGGATTGAGTTTGTTGGTTCTCTTCTCTGCTCTGAGGTTTTTCTCCGGGTTCTCCGGTTTTCCCCTCTCCTCAAAAACCATTATCATTTGAATTTATGTAATTTAGAGTTTATTTATATTTACACATGACCCCACAAGCTGTTCAGCTTTAAACATCATCGTGTCTAAATAAAGGTATTATTATTATTATTATTATTATTAACGTAAGAGACATAACATACCTTTGTCCCACGCATCATCTTTTAGAACTTGTGATATATAGATAATGCAACTAAGATACTGACAGTATGCCTCCTGGTGTAAAAATAAAAGTAGTGTACAACAAAGTCATATGTATGTATGTATGTATTGAATATACATCTACTGATAAAACCTTCATGCCCTTTATGTGGATAACTGTAACATGTGACAAATACATATCATACAGTAAGACAAAGTCATGTTGGTGGCCCTTAATTAACCAGAAGTAATTTATAAAGTTCTGTGATCTTGCAACAAGGATATCTTACTGAGACAAACTTTGGATTCCATTCGAATTCCCATTCATATGCAGGCAGTTCTCACTGGCTTCAATCGGAGCATTTACACTAAGCCTTTCCAGTTATTATCATTTTTTTCTTTAATAATCTGAACTATTCCCCCTCCCCAAGAATGATGGGTTTTGAAAAAAGGAGGTTTCGAATGATTTTGCTCTTTTACAGCGAAGCTAATAAAATGTGGACACTCGCAAAGGCGCTAACAAAAGCCATCCCGCAAAATTGGGCTCTGATTTTTAAGCAGGCCTTCCAAATGTTAACGGTATTTAATACAAAAACCCTGGGACTTCCCTCATCCCTCTCTGTATTCCAAATCACTGCGTTTTCCAAGGAATCTCGATACGACTTTATTGCCACATAAGCCTTGTCCCTGTTTTGTTATGACGTCACTGTCGAAAGACCGTGGCAATAAAGAAGATCGCCTTGCGGGTTTAACAAAAACAACGTTGAAAAAATATCAAACGTTTGTGAAAACATCTGTCTGAAAATGTCAGAGCTTAATCAAATTCAATCTGCATCATAGTACTTTAAACTGGTGAGAATTCAAAGCGTCTCGATCCAGCGTTACATGATTTGTTTAAGTCAGTTGGTAAAACTCAAACCTTTATCCTATTGTCTGAGTCAAGCTTGATGGCATCTCCAACAGATCGGATTGCCAGTGGTAAGCAATCTGCAATCCCTTCACCCATCGTCCGCGCAAAATATTTTGATAAATTTGTAAAAAATCTCTACCACTCCTCCAAGTCAGCCATCTTGAATACCCTGCAAGTCCTTTTGGGATTTGTTGCCAACTTTTTTTCTTTTTTTTCTTCCACTACTCTCATTGGTCTACATCTTTTTCAAGCTATCGATGTCACGCTAGCTGTCACGCTAAGTCACGCTAACCTTCGCGCTAACCGACATAATCGGTGATGTGATCGTTGATTGAAAAAGAAATGGAAAGAAAAACTTTGCGAATCAATTCAAAACAACTTGGCTAGTCTCAAAGCAAGTGTTTTGGAACTATTAAGACTTATTCGTTTGTCCATATCGGCCTGCTCCATTTTTCTATGACAGCTCTAGTACTCAAGAATCTAAAAAGTAGAGGAGTGTATACCCATTTTAAGACATATGACCCAGAAATTTCCACCCTGTTGGGCAACATACACCAGTTAAGCAACAATGAAGGATTTTCCATCCTTAGAGGGTAAAAAACTTTCTTCGATGAGTGCATCAGCGAATTAATTTTATTAAAATGAGTTAAATGCATTTTAACAAACATGTAGATACGGTGTGGAATTAGGGAATTTTCGCGAATACGATGTTGAAGTCCTAAATGCGATAACACTTGGTCCTAAAGGTAATAAAGTCCTAAATGTAATAAGCCTCCAATGCAATGGTTAATGGTTTGACTGCGCCAGTGCATTGTTGTTATAGCGGACATCCACATTCAGATGTTAAAGTGACAGCTGTAACACCAAAAAATCCTCTGACCAGTATTCATGTCACATTGCGGGCTCGCTGATATCAATCAGTATCTTTTTACTTGCTGGAGACCATTCTACTGACAGCATCAAATGACAGCTGACAAAACGATGAGTATGCTGACCAATACCTCCATAAATCACTGGCTCAGACTCTTGAGTATAATAGATTTTGGAAAAATGTGCTAACGTTATTACACTTGTGTGATCAGTGATGAATGTACAAGTCATGAGCCAAATTAAAATCTTGGACAAGGAAGTCTGCAGACTTGCAGGTCGGACAATTTGCAGGCTCAGATATATATATTTTTGTCTTTACCTTCTGGACGGACCTTGTGACAGCTCTCTAGAGAGTTATTGCTTTCAAATTCTCGAATATTTTCGTGGTTATATGAATAGAGACATGATAATTTTTCTCGCCAAGAGAACAAAAAAATTCAACAAGCAAAAAAGGTACTGCATGGATCTGCATCAAATTATATACTCAATGACTTACATTTAACAGGCGTAAATGAAAAGAAGCTGCTGACCAGCACATACAAAATGTTTAGTTATGTCAAAGGCTGTAAATGATGTCCCGGTCCCCAAAAGTTCACGCAAAAATTGTGCTCTTGCTTTCTCTGAGATGTGAGTAAAACTAATCGTTTTGGTTTTTTCGACGCGCTGATCTCCTTAACGATCAAACATTAGATAAAACAGCATAAACTACTCTGAAACGGACTTTTCTTCTACTGAATCGGCACTATGAGAGTGACACGCTTTTACTGAATCGGCACTATGAGAGTGACACGCTTTTACTGAATCGGCACTATGTGAGTGACACGCTTTTACTGAATCGGCACTATAAGAGTGACACGCTTTTACTGAATCGGCACTATGAGAGTGACACGCTTTTACTGAATCGGCACTATGAGAGTGACACGCTTTTACTGAATCGGCACTATGAGAGTGACACGCTTTTACTGAATCGGCACTATGAGAGTGACACGCTTTTACTGAATCGGCACTATGCGAGTGACACGCTTTTACTGAATCGGCACTATGAGAGTGACATGCACGTAAAGAGCATAACTTTTCGGTTTCAAATTAGCTGGCCGTAACACTGAAAAGATTTGGCCATTAACGTTGTACTGATTGGTTGAACCGACTTTGAAAAGATTCTTGAGTTCATATAGCTACGAAGTTTTGATTGGTGATGACAAAAATGGTAATAAGCGCGAAAAACATTTCACGAGCCTGTGAAATATTTCAGGAAGTTTTCTTTGAGATCTACATAGAATGTAGTGAGCTAATACATGAGATTTACTAATTTAGATGAGATTTACTAATTTAGCCGTTATGGTTTTAGCATCACTAGCATTATTGTGGGATAGGTCGGTGGCCCATAAAGATCGTGAAAACTCCGAAGGGAACAGGAAACCCTCTGCTTTATCAGTCCACGTCTAAGAAGCCCTGCTCGACCCTGTTGAATGCGTGCAGCCGCTATGCAATATTGGAGAGCCGGCGAAAGGATATCAGTCAAAGAAGACCATGGTGATCAGGCACTCTATAAATCATCAGAGATGAACAAAGTAGTGGTTGAAGAATTTGAGAGGACGAAAGGATCTGGTGCGGGGATGCTGGCTTTCTCTCAGTGAGTGACAACCTTTTAAGGAGTAAGTCGAACTAAAACAACGAGGAAGGAAATTTTAGTGTACTTAGAAAGTAATCGGGGCGATAGCGACGGCCTCCCTCTTTTGGAGTATTTGGCAGATGATGAGTTCGCTCGCTGGGATGACCATTTAATTCATATGGCGGGAGATGGGACCTCTAGGGATCAGATAACAATGTATGCAGCAGCAAACTTGTACAACATCGACGTCCAAATAGTGCCCTCTCTTGGAGTTGGTGGGCAGCATGTATTCACTTCTTCAGCAGCTACCGTGTACCTTGGAAATTTTGCTAAGAACCACGGTGAATACAATATGAGCTTGGAACAAGTTACGGATCACAACGACGGTAGTGAAGAAGAGTACGAAGCAAATGACCCACGAGACGGAGTTGTTTGCGAGGATTGTACAAATAAAACGTATATAGAGTAGGATTTTGAAATGGATGATACTTTTGATTATCAGCCGGATGACATCGACGCAAAAAGTGGGCCTGATAGTATCGTCGACGATCGTGGCGACACGGATATGAATGCAGACATAGCTAAAGGATTACAAATGGTTGCCGAACTAACGAAACGGAGCCTGAATTGCAAAATGAAGTCGACAAAGACATAGTCAACGATGGTGATAAGCTAATAGATGTTCAGTTTGTTTTAGACGTGGACATCGTCTTACTTGCGGCGAGAAGGGATGACGAATGTCACATTGCAAATCTAGATCTTCTTCTTTGTAGTTGCAGTGTTAAGTGTGGGGCCTGGTGACTAAGATTAGACGCAGCTGGGGTGGTAGGTGCCAAGCATTCTGACTGTACAGCATGACTGCACAACAACTGAAACCAGCGGTCAAACGTTGGGCACGTGCGAGTGGATCAATCTGGCAAGCCGCGCACAAATTCCACACGCAAAATTTTAAATGAAAACATTAAGAATCAACCGCTGTTGCAAAATAAGTAAAAGAAAATTTATAGAAATCTGTAAAAGGAATAAAAAGAAGGGAAAAGAAAAACCGGAGACTTTTCAAACGCAAGCTTATTCAAGTACTTTATCATTCTGTTTTAAGCTCAACTAAATACGCCTCTGCGCTTTTAAAACACAATGACTTACTCCCTTGTGTGGTTATTTGTAACTTTTGGACAATGTCTACGACGAAGTCGCAAAAAGCGGCAGAAGACAGTCAGAACAAAAGAAACATTTAAATGACCCCCTTGGGTTTATTGTGCTACAAACACAGCTGGCTCTCTTTCTCGATTCTCAAAATAAACAAATCATTCTTGATTTTTATTAGAGGAAAATCTTTTTGCTTTATAATAAATCCTTCATCGACAAGGCCAAAAGTAAAATCTATCTTAACTTGAAGTCGTTTACCATCGTTTCTTTCAATGTTGACTAGTTTCCTCACACTGAAATTATCATTCACACTTATCAGAATATAATTACGACTGATGCTGTCTATCTGAAGAAAAATACCTTCCTTATCCTCGAAAAAATCCGTTCAAAACATTAGGAACATCGACGAAGTTCTTCAGCTGCTTATAAATGCCACAGACTAACATGTGTGTTGATCGTTTTTCAAGCTGTGAGAACATCGTTCCTAGGCTCCAGACCCCGCCAATTTCCCTCTTCCCCCTCCCCCACCCAAACTGGCTCTAAATTTCCTTAGACAACCTCTTCGACAGGCCGCGTCAAGGATTTTTAATAAAATGAAGGCTAGAAAATAAACTAACTGGAGCTCTGCTGTTAGGCTTGGCTAAATCTATACATTAATGATACTGATTAATTATCTGAAGCCTAGTTTCAACTATAGCTCCCCATCGCCTGATTCCCAATTGCCTGATTACAATCAGCCAGCGAGCCCGCAATACGCCATGAATTTTGGTCAGAGAATTCTCTGGTGCAACAGTTGTCACTTCGAACATCTCAATGTGGATGCACAAGCACAGTTAAACTATTGCATTGGAGGCTTATTACATTTAGGACCAAATGGTATCACATTTAGGACCAAATGTTATCACATTTAGGACTTTATTGCATTTAGGAAAGTTATTACAGTACATTTAGGACTTCAAGATACGACTTCTGCTAAGAGAGGATGAAAACTGTATTTCTAAGAAGATCTATACCTTAATCAATCACTTTGTTGATCCGTTTAACCTCTACTGGGTATTATTATAAAGCTGTTATTTTACCAAGTCTTTTACACACATTTAAGATTTCGAAAGTCATTAATCTCTAATTTTCGATATAATTCATACAGCAGCAAAACAATCGACGCCAATGTCGATATGTGTTAGTGTCTCTTTCCCAGTCCCTTAGCCAGCGTGGTTCACTCCCTCCTTTCTACTGAGGAAGCCTTGGACTCTATTCCTAAGTTGGCACTCTACCTGAATTTGTCCCCTGTACAGAGGTTCAGACAGGCACTTGCGCTTGAATATGAAGCTCTTCCGTTCTTTCTGAGCATTTTTGATTCTGCGCACTTCATCTACATGTAGGTTTGTTTTAATTTTTGTTACATTTTCTGGTAAATTCCTGCCAATAGCACTTCTTCTATTTGAGTTGTCTTGTGCTTGCTCTCCCCTTTGAGTTTTATCCGATGGAGGTATGTAAAATTCTGGTGGTTTTTGCTGAGTTCTGGGTGTAAGAGGTTTTCGATGACTTGACAGCCCTTGTAAGCTACTCTTCAGTAAAGCTTTAGTCATTTTAACGCTCTTTTTACGCTGTGCTTTATCGTGAGCGCCATACTCAGTGACAAATTTTGTTTTCGAAACGTTATTATTACGTAAAGGTTGTGCTGGGTCTGGAATTTTAATATCTCCAGGCTGAAACCTTACATGTTTACAATTGCTAAATTGAGATTCATCGCCTCGTTTCCACGCGTGTTTCTTAACTGTCGATGAGTCAGTGAAAGTAGGTATTGGATACTTACTGCCATTTTCGTGGGAGATTTTGATCAACGCTGTTTCTGCGTTGGGTGTGGTTTCACCTTCACATTTTGTACCGATGGCTTCAGGCGAATCTGAAAGGTAAATTTCCTCTTGACATTCCTCCTCTGGAGAGGTCTCTCTGTAAGATTGATCACTTGAAAAAAATTCAGCGTCCCAAAGATATTCTTTTTCAAACTCGGCTTCGTTTGGCCGAAAATTTTCTAGACTCGATTCGGATAGAACCATTCCTAAGCTTTCGGCCGATATTCGATGCTGTGGTGAGGTCTCAATGCTACTATGCAAGGTCTGCGGTTGCTCTCTTGAACTTACCCCCGAATCATCCAAACGGACACATGACTGTACAGCGACTCCTTCATTAGACGTACTGCTGATCACTTCTTTCTGCATCTCTTGTTCTTGTTCTTTCTCTACCCAAGCAAGTCTTATCGATTTTTCCACTTCATATTCACACTGGCCTGTACTATTACTGTCGTTAAGTTTTGTGATGGATGTGGTTTCACAAGGTATCTCTTTAAGTGAACTTTTCGGCGCGATATTGCTCAGTGGACTTTCGTGACTGAGTTCTTCCGGTGCTGCTCTTGTGGACTCGATTCTTGATGGCGCCGAGCGAATTCTATTTACTCTTCTCAGCTCATCACGGCTGTTTGCAACTCTTGCCGAATGTTCGCTACGGATCTCTGCCAGATCTCGTAGCTGTATTGAATCAAAGCTTACCTCTTCCCCCAAGGTCAAATTTGGGACTAAATCAAGAAGTTCCCTTCTTCGTGCATAGTGAGCACAACGTTCAAATCTTGACTGAATTTCCATTTCTTCCTCGGCTTGTAAGCTCCGCACTAGTCGACTCAATCTTTCTAGCGTTTTGCGGGGAAGTTTTGCTTTGGTTGGCTTGGGTCCGAGATACAAGTCCTTCTTAAACGAATCAGAATCTGTCGCTAAGCTTGCAGCAGAGAAAATACTATGACAATTCAAGAAATAGTTCTCGTTTTTTTCTAGTTCTCTTTCCAGTATTCCTTTTTGATTTCTGTACTCAAGCTTCATAAGTTTGGTCTCAACATCGATGACATGTAACTTCCGTTCAAGGTTTCTTTGCTCTGTCAAATTACAATGAGAACTTGCATATACAGCGGCTAAATCGGCTGGAAGAAATCTCTGACCTCCGCGGTGATCTGTCTTTTTTCGAAAATTCGGTCGATATAGAAACTGGCTCTTCATTGGGTACGTGAGTTAATCGTTGTCCTCAATTTCTTGACCAAGCTAAATTTGTTAAACTAACTTATTTCCAAATTTCTCCAATTTGATGTAAAGACTTTGGATAGGGCGCGCCTCTTTCGTGCACAATGAGGAGCAGCGTTGAAGTTCTTCGCGCGCGCAACTCGCGGCGAACACGTCATTGCTGTTTTCAACGGAAATCTTCTACTTTCCACTTTTCACTTTTGCGTTGGAATTTTGAGTGTTTGTTTGAAAGTGGCAAGGCCTGGGTAACAAGGCTACATTTGACGCAAAATAATTGATGTACACAACAGATAACTACTGCCAAAAAAATTAATTCGGTGCTGTTGATGAGCTTCAATCGTTCGACACTGGAAACAAACTGCAGAGTTTGAAGGGAGAAAACGCTTTTCCGCTTCAATCAGAAAGATCCTGGAATCTCAGTCCGAATCTCAAGCCTCAGGTTCCAATTTGCTTTACTGTATAAGGGAGGAAGGAGAACAGTGGACGTGCAAAGAAATGAAAGTAACAGATATTCCAGCTCATTTTATTGACATGTTAACTTCTCTCGGCAACACATTTTTTATGCATCATACTTTTCAACCAGGCACGGAAAGCCGTAAAAATCTTGAACAAAAGCTCATCTTTCAAACCGGCAGTCTAAATCCTACAGGGATCAACGAAAGCTTTTCATCCCACTAATTTATTCATACAACAACAAACATATGAAACATATGTGTGAACTGCGGTTATGAGACGTATATGAGCACGATCCTTCGCAGTAAAGCACTATTTGAGCAATAGTGAAAATCAGACCTGAAAAAAATTTCAGGCCTGTACGGGATTCGAACCACTGACCTGATTTTCAGGTCTGATTTTCAGGTCTGATTTTCACTATTGCTCAAATAGTGCTTTACTGCGAAGGATCGTGCTCATATACGTCTCATAACCGCAGTTCACACATATGTTTCATATGTTTGTTGTTGTTTGATTTATCATCTACGGGTTTATGTCGAATTAATTTGATGGCCTGCTCCCAGTTGGCTTGTTAGCTCAATTGGTAGAGCGCTGCACTAGTATCGCAGAGGTCAGTGGTTCGAATCCCGTACAGGCCTGAAATTTTTTTCAGGTCTGATTTTCACTATTGCTCAAATAGTGCTTTACTGCGAAGGATCGTGCTCATATACGTAATTTATTCATGTTTTTCTCGTTGCCATGCTCCCACCAATAACGTAGCTCCATTTTCCATTTTCTGCCTTTAAAAGCACACACAACCCACAATTCCTCTATTCGCTCCGACGAAGGGCTAACGCTCGAAACGTCAGCTTTTGTAATCATTACGGTGGCCAATTTACCATTTCAACTTTGTTGATATATCCAAATTATTTCGTTACTCCCACCGACGCAACCCCAAACAGTTTCTTTCGAAACTATCAGCCTTTTTTCAACCAGGAGCCGACGTTTCACTGGGCCAGCGCGCGGACAAAGAGACAAGCTGGTTTGGAGCATTTGTGGCTTTACTTTAACGTAAAAACGGCGATTGCATTGGCGTGCAACAAAGTTCATTCCTAATCAGCGAGAAAAAAACTCATCTTAGGTTTCCTACGCAATTTGCACGCATCAATACATTGTTGGTTTTTTTCAATTTTGCTTCTCGATATAAGTTCGTCTGAGCACTCCAAAGAAACTACCAAACTCTGGTCAATTAATTCCACTCCATGCCAAAACTTAAAGGCTATGGGAATGTTTCAGTCAGTCCCCACAAACAAAAGGAACGCAATGGTTCATTAATTATAATAAGTTCTCTTGTTGTCACGTGATCTGTGGGAGTGACTCCTCCCACAGAGCTCCGAAAAAGAAAAACTTGCCATTTCCGCAACATGTCAACCTCAGCCTTGTTCTCGTTCCATTTCTCCACGATGCAGCGCACGTTCTGGGAATTTCCACCATTTTTCGCGACTACCGATGGCCTTGATCAACTTGCTTCAAAAATCTTCAGATAAATAACTCCGAAAACTGTGGTGATGAGCCATGAAGTGCACAACCACCAAACCATGTACGACATGATCCCCCGGAACAGAGCAGGTGTGAGGACTCCTCGTAGATCAAGCGCTGCTTCTCTGGTGCTGTTTGATATAAAAGATGAATACTGAATGCGAGAGGCGCCCACAGGATTACTGTTCCAGTCAGAGCAACCTGTAAAAAAATTACCCAGGAAAAATTGTTTATGGGTTTAAGTCGTCTCTTGTTAACCCTTTAACTTCGATGTGTCATTGCGCGGGCGTAGCCAGGATTTTTCAAAGGAGGGGGGGGGGAGGGGGTCACAGAGGCTACTCACTATTTACACCGCTGCTCTCCTGCGTGTATCAGCGGGCTCAGTCGTATTATCGCGGCATGAAGGCCTATATTAACTAAATAAAAGAGCCGTTAACGAAAATACTTTACAAAAACAACAAATTTTAAAAAAGTGGGCTTTTCAACAAGGGCTTTTACGGCCAAGATATTGTCATGGCGTTTTCGCCACCCGAATATTGTAGGTTGTTTGCTCTAAATAAGGCCCACAAAGGGGGGGTCACGGGCACCCCAGGACCCCCCTGGCTACGCCCTTGCATTGGCTTTTATTTTCCCCGTACGTCCTTCAATCGAATGTAAAGGTCATGAGAATTCTCTTCGTCATTACGACTGGAAATGAAGAGAGATCAGTATGGAGAATATGACTCGTAATGTTAGGGTGTTATGGGTGAAATAAAAGAAGAGTATGCTATTATTTTTTAACGTTACTTAAATGCAATCTGTTTTCTCCAACCCACCGAGAGTTCGTAGCATAAGAACAGAAAAGAGAAGAAGAATAGTCGGCGCCAGATATTGAAGAGCAGCGGCAGACAGATAGTAAAACACGCGTGCAACCTGTAGAAAAAGGAAAGAAAAAAATGATAGATTATTCTACTGAAGAAATATTCACTGCAGCAACAAAACAAAGAATCAAACATGACGATCAGACTTCACAGCAACAAAATTGATTGATCACTACTCAAGAACACAACCAGAGCCACCAACAACACCAGGTGTAAAACTGATCAATCAGTTTCTAAGAGTTGTAAAATTAGATCGAATTAAAATTTTCGATTGACTCTCATTATAGCTTCTGCCCTGGTTATCGAAAAGTCAGTTATTGTCACAGGGCTCGAAATTAATGGTAACCCGTTAACCAATGGTCAGTAATTTTCAACGTTTGGTTACTCAAAATGTGTCCAACTAACCCGACACAGTTAGTAAAATTTTCTAACATATTTAAACATTGGCAGACCTCAGGACAAAGAGCACGTAGGCCCTACTCTCAGAGGAATACTTAGAATACTCAAGTTGTTTAATCAACTTCAACTATTTTTAGAGAATGTACTGTACTGAGATGTGCTGTTCTTGACTAATCATGGTAAACGAGAGGGAAATAAAATATGTGCATAATTGTCAACGTTTTTAAGGTCACCATGCAATTTCAGCTACTCTTTAATTTGTCCTAGTCATTATTATCAAAATGTTCAATATTTGAGATATCATAACTTGTGAGCTTGGATACCAAACTTTATAATTTGGTTAGTAAAAAAGATGTCTACGAACCCCAAGGGTTAGTGATCCAAAAATTAAATTCGAGCCCTGTTGTCACCGACAACAACTCTTTACAGGGTCAAAAGAACCTTTTGACTCCCATGAGTGACCAAGACAGAATATCTCCTCACAATACAAATACATTATTAAGCAGACAAGTGAAGTGAATAAAGAAAAGAGTCAATGATGGGGATTTTCAGTTGATCCAAAACAAATTCTCTGAACAAACATCGTGAGAAATATGTATAGCAAAGAATAAGGAGAATTACCAAAGAGATCTCGGGATTGAAAGGGTTAGGGATTGTGTTACCTTCCGTTGCAGCTCCACGTTGGTGATTCGTCCAGTTTCTTTCTTCATCTTTTCAATCCTTTCGTGCGCCATATCAAGGTAGGACTGAAGATGTCGCCAGACCAAACTCAACCGCAAAACGCAGAATAACAACAGCAGGATATAACGAAGGTTTAAGTAACCCTTTTCGGTCATACTGAAATTAAATGTTTCAGACAGAGCTAAAATGATCAGCGTGAGCTAATAAGGCCTAATTGGGGAGTTTTTGAGACCAGACGGTAACGTGACTGGTCATTGGATGGTTAAGTATGGCTCACCGCACACAAGAAAACGTTTTCTTATTAAAATTTTACACAGGGCCTATTTAAGGTTCATAGGAAAGATAATTAAAATTAGAGCCGTTTACTGTTGCTGTAACCGTCAGGGTTAAACTCCTTGCTATTTTTCCCAACTTTTCATGGCGGTAAAAGACGGATGTTTTTTCCGCCTTTTCGCGAGCGCGGGACAAAGGAAAAAGTTTGATTCCCCATTACGAAAGGACTTGGACGAGGGAAGAGCACGAAATGGGCGTTGCGTGACAACGTGACACACCACAATGACTGCGAAGGAGACTACTCTTCTGGAAACTCGACTGTTGTTATCAGTTCTTTTTCAGGTATAATCCCATTAAAATTTCAAAAACACCCACCACTAACAAACACACACACGCACGCACGCACGCACGTACGCACACACACACACAAACAAAAACAAAACAAACAAAAACAAACAAAAGCAAAACAAAACAAAAAACCAAATGGAACAATTGTAGAAGGGAAGAACTTGACGATGAACTCTCAAAACCTCGGCCAAAGCTATTCGCGGATTATCTACATTGAAGTGAAAGAGTAATTCTTTATCGCTATTTACCTTGAAAATTGTCTACATTACCGCACCCACGTTCCATTCAAATGAACATAGAGAGGAACTGATAACACTTCACTTACACTGGCTTAGCATTCTTGTCCTCAAGGTCGTCATGCCACGAGCCGGTTACCAAAGGTCCTTGCACGATGGGTGTCACCCACAGAAAAATAAGAAACATGGGGGCCAGGAAGTTGACATGGAGAAGAACGCTTTGGAAAGTTAAATTTAGACATTTCAGAGTTAAGCCACGTCGCGATAACAATGGCCACGCGTAAGGAAAGTTGTAAGGTTAGGTAACGACTAGGTGGCAATGCCACAATCAGACGGTTCAAGCCCCTCCGCTTTCTCGCATTTTTTCCGAACGAAAGGCTGAAAAGATTACTATTGCTGTTGGTTTCTTTTTAAATGGGTGCAGATGCCCGAATTCTTAATTAAACAACGTCTTTGTTTGTAATTGTGTTAATGAACTCAGCCGGTATGAAACAAAATGAAAGGGCATCCATTTATAACAGCTTTTTCTGAGGGTTTACCCTGGTAAAAAATTGATTATTATCATATTACTATTATTATTACTACTATTATCATAATTATCATCATCATCATCATCACCATCATCATCATCATCATTATCATCATTATCTATATATAAATCTTATTAACCAAGCGAGGGCCGTACTGGGAGAATATCGGCCCGAGGTCTTGACAGTACGGACCGAGCGCAGCGAGGTCCGTACAAAAGAGACCGAGGGCCGATATTCTTCCAGTACGGTCCTGAGCAAGCTTAGTTAATAAGAGATTTATCATACGACTGAAAGGGACACAAGGGACACAAGTGCGGTATCATTCGGGACCATTCGGGACAGTGCCCGGTCCAATACTGAGAGAATATTGACCGGCAATAGAGCATTTTGATTGGTTGATTTTAGTTATTGGCCCTCTGACTGCCCGAGTCGTGCAATAATATTACTAATAGGAGTCTTGTTGAACATGCCTAATTGGAAATAAAAACGACCCTTCTGTCGGAGCACGCGGGCGTCTTCTTGAGCATTAACTGTATGAACAACTATTTGACTTACAACACAGTACGTGTCTCTCGGCAGTAGAACAGTGAATCCAGATACATATTGGCCAGACGCATGCCAGGAAAACTAAGAAATGCACCAAGGATGGCCGAGGCTACAGCCAGGAACAGTTTAAACACCCACTTAGGGGCAGGACCTCTGTTAACGGAAAAAAAACATACTGGCTTCGTAAGTATGCATAGGAGATTGACACACATTGCTGCGTGAGGTCATCCCGGTTTTTTTTTATGAAGTAAGGTGACCACAAATACAAGCTAATGATCTGGGTGAGATACTAGTCGATCAAAAGATATTGCACTGGTACCAAGTTACATTAATATACTTTCTAGGGTGGAGAGAGGTACTGTAAGAGTAGAGTGTCTTGCTCAAGAGCACAGCCTGAGCCCAGACCCCTCAAACCACTGTCCAGCACGTGAACCAACAGGACGCTGCTAATCCATCTAGCGATTATATCACTAAGATCGTCAGAGCTAATACGCTTGGACTAAAACTGAGTGGTAAAAAACCTTTTGCTAGGCAACCATTTACACATAAGTAACTAATATTCACAACCTACCTGGAAGACAGCCCTTGTTTCTCCATAAATTCGGTCGCTTTTTCTGAAAACGTCTCGTAACCTGCAGCATAACGAACGGAGATCTACCGTACTTATTCGTCTATAGTTTGAATATATCAACAAAGTTTAAATCGTAAATTGGCCACCATTACGGTTATAAGAGCTGACGTTTCGAGCGTTAGCCCTTCGTCGGAACGATAGGCCGAGCGATTTTTTCACAAAACTTTACCAGAACCAAGAAAATTTGAGCTAGAGAAGGGTCCTTATAGCCGAGTGTTTTTCCGAACAAAAATTTTCCGTGTAATAGAAAAAATCCGAGCCCCAGATGGGACTTGAACCCACGACCCTCCGTGATCTAGTCGGATGCTCTAACCAATGAGCTACTGGAGACTCTATGGTGAGCAAGGGTCAATTTGTGGGCCTCGACTGGAACCGCATCGCGCGGCTACACAGCCAAGTATTGGTAAGCACCTGTGAAAACTCACCAACAGCATCACGCTGTCACATTAAGGCATATCAAGATG